TCACACAAAATCAACTCGAACCTGTTCGTGACCCTACGCCCTGCGTCACCAACTCTGCCTTGACCAGCGTGGTGAAGTATGGCCCATAAGCCGCATGGCCGACACGGCGTGGGGAGGACTTCATCTGGCAGTGGATTGACAATGGATGGAAATTATTGAACAGGCGACGGTTCTGACGCTAGGGTTGAGGAATTCTAAGCTGCTCAATTTAAACACCGGATTTGATAATAAAAAAAACTAAATCGACAAATTGGTTAATAATTAAAAAAATCATTTAAAACATTTTAATTAGTAATTGTAGATAGTCATTATCTTTTTAGGGGGGGGGGGGGGTGGGTTTAGGGGAGCGGTGGCGCAGTGGTTAGCGCACCGCGTTCCGTACCCGGGAGGACCAGCCTCTCCGTTCGACTCCTGGTCACGGGTTTAACGCCGGCTGGCGAGTGACGACCAATTAAGCGGCCATGCGTCGCTAAGCCCGCACCTGCCTTTATTCAACAACCCGCGTTGACCAGAGTGGTGAAGTATGGTCAACAACAACAACAACAAAAAACGCCGACTACCGACAGAGCGACCTTCACACGCAGCAGTAGATTGACAAAGGGACGGCGATATGAATCGTCCCATGTCTGAACCTTCACCGTAATTATATTTATTACGTCTAACACGTAAGCTTTCGCCATCAATATTATCCATATTAGAGTCGGGGGTGGGGGGGAGGTTGGGTTAGAACGCGTAAATTTAGTAACTATAAATTTTTATTTAAAGCTTTCGTGACTGCAGGGATTCTTATTCTTGGTTCTTTCGGTAAAGTCACGTAGAAGAGAAACAATAAAATAATAAAAATATAAAACAATAATATTCTCACGACGTTTCGACCGCAACACAAGCAGGCATCATCAGGTGTGAAAACCACAGCAAGAAATTTTTCAAATTGTGTGTGTGGTTTTCACACCTGATGATGACTGCTTGTAGTTGCGGTCGAAACGTCACGATAATTTTATTGTTTTGTATTTTAATTATTTTATTGTTTCCCTTCTACGTGCATTTACCGAAAGAACCAAGAATATAGTAACTATAGTTACTAATTAGCATGCATGGGCCTCTATTCATATAAATGTGTCTCTATTGGCCTCTGTATCTCTATGTCTCTTATTGGTCTCTATGCATCTCTATTGGTCTCTGTGTATCTCTATGTGTCTCTATGTATCTATGTATCTATATGGGTCTCTATGTAATCCATACGTGTCTCTATGTATCTTTGTATCTCTATGGGTCTCTATGCATCTCGACGTGTCTCTATGTATCTATGGATCTCTATGGGTCTCTATGCATCTCGACGTGTCTCTATGTATCTCTATGGGTCTCTATGTAATTTCTACGAGTCTCTGTGCGTCTATGTATCTATATGGGTCTCTATGTAATATCTACGAGTCTCTATGTATCTTTTTATTGCTATGGGTCTCTATGTAATCTCTACGAGTCTCTGTGTATCTATGTATCTCTATGGGTCTCTATGTAATCTCTACGAGTCTCTATGTATCTATGTATCTCTATGGGTCTCTTTGGGATCTCCATACAATCTCTATGAGTCTCTGCGTGTCTCCATGGGTTTACTTTGTGGTTACACGGTAATGGTTGCTCGACCGCTATCGCATTGCCTGGGACGAACTTTGGCCGGTGCCTCGCGAGACCGAGGAGGTTTGTGAGCCATCGGGGCTGCTAGGCTGTGATGATGGGTCGAGCGCAGGGCTTAATTAATGTACCACCGCTGACACTTAAAGGAAGGATAGTCATAACAACCGTATGTAATAGCGCACAGGAGTTATTAGCATGCACAGTGAAAATTCATTTCAGTTTGTTTCGCTGTTAGATGGTGTGCTATGATATATAACGGGGCTGTACACACACACACGAAAGAATCGAGTACCATTTACAGACGCAACTACGACATCCAATATACATGGACGCGCTAACACACACACACACAGATGCCCCGTGAAGCCCGCACAGACTGCTGGGGCGAGTGCTGTTAGCGAGCACCTATTAAGTTTCGGCACGGATGCACGAGGAGGATGGTGTGGCCAACTCCACGCCCGGCCGCCTTTGTCTCCCCGGTGCTGATGTTTACACACCGGGCCGGGTACCCATTCGAGGCTGAGTCGACCTAGGGGAGGCCCTGGAAATCGAACTCGTGTCACCGGGTTCGTAGCGCAGAGCAGCGCTGACCGCTGACCGCTGCACCCAACGCTGCTCACAATTACACAGCACGCATCGATGGTGAAGACATGACACAAGACAAAGATCTCTCCGTATCGCCTTAACACACTTTGTGGGGAAAGTGCCGCTAGCGGGGAGCACCTATTAAAAGTCGGGCACGTCATACGCCGGGCGAGGTGGGGGGGGGGGGGATTGGTGGCCAGAACCACGCCCGGCCGCCTTTGTATCTCCTCGCGGGCGATGTTTACACACCCCGCAGCAGCTTTGCTCATCCGAGGGACTAAATTGACCGAGGGGAGGCCACCGAACGCGCACGCGCCGCGAGCCGCAGTTAATGTTGAGCGAAAAAAGCTTCGGCATGGCGTTGCGGCGAGAGACGGACGGCGTCACCCCGTGGTCTGCGGCGATCAACTCCACATGCGGCGAACGAAAGTCGTTCAGAGACACGCGCGGACGACGTCGATGTCGCGTTAAAAGGTCCCCGACATCGCATGTCAACCTCCGATTGAGAGAGCGGTTGGGCTACGTACGGCGCGAAAGACGGTTCAACATACACACGTGCATGCAATCTCCGCGACAATTGAAACAATGACGAGACCACCACGTGGTTTATAACCGAACCAACAATTACGTACGGACCGCAACAGTTGCGACCCACACGGACGGACTCGTCCCACCACGCCTCTTGATAATCTCCGGTCGCGTTCTTTACAGAAGTAAGACGCACTCGCCGGTGTATCCGGCCACACCAACAAAAACAACAACAACAAAATCGCCGACGAATTTCGCGCGCGCACAGCGTTCACGTCTCCAGCGCATCGCTGGCTTCGCTTGTCGGGGGCTGTTACGGGGGGAGCGGCGGTGCAGCGGTTAGCGCAACCAACCCCGCTACGAACTCGGAATCACCCCATTTCGATTCCCGTTCACGAGCAGTAGCAGCGGCGTGATTGTTTGAACAGGTCCCGGGCCTCCCCTAGGTCTACTCGGCCTTAATATTGAGTCACCTGATGCGGTGCGTTTTTTTTAACATCAGCACCGGGGAGACAAATGGGGTGGGACGTGGGTGCTGGCTACCCACCCCCCCCCGTGTGCCGTGCCGGCTACTCGCTAACGGCACTTGCCCCAACAGTCTGTTAAAGCTACACGGGGGATCTTTGTCTGTTTTGTGATGATGTCGGTTACAACGTAAATGATGATCGGGATAAAATATCGAGTCGAGTTTGTGTGTTCGTGTGTCTGTGTGCATCGCTGTGTGTATTGTACGTGTATATTATGCGTGTGTATATATCGCGGTGTAGGTTGTTTGTGGTATACATGTATGTGGGGAGCGGTGGTGCAGCGGTTAACGCGCTGCGCTACGAACCCGGCGACCCGAGTTCAATTCCCGCTCATGGCTAACACCAGTGACGATTATCTGAACCGGTCCTGGGCCTCCCCTAGGTCGACTCAGCCTCAAATGAGTACCTGGTGCGATGTGTAAACATCGCCACTCGGAAGAAAAAGGCGGCCGGGTGTTGTGCTGGCCACCCACCCCCTCGTGTGCCGTGCCGGCCTTCATAGGTGCTCACAAACAGCACTCGCCCCAACAGTCTCTTAAGGCTATACGGGGGATCTTTGTCTTAGTGTATGTTTGTGTGTCGTTGACATTACAATGATGATTATTGCAATTTCATAACATAACAAGTTGTTTCTCCACTCACGAAATCGTCCACCAATTCATTCACCGTTCACTCATTCACTCACTCCGCTCACCATGGTTCTTCGCTAAGCAGATCACGGCATCGTTTGACACGATCATTCACTCACTCATTCACTCACTCAATCACCCACTAAAACATTCACTTAGTTACTCGCTCGCTCCGTCACTCAATCACCGAACTATTGGCTACAACGCTCACTAAAATCGCCCACTCACTCAACTCACTAAATCACTCACTGGCCCAGTAAATCGCTCGCTTATCAAATCACTCACTGGCCCACATAGCCACTCGCCCGATCACTAAAGCATTCACTAAATAACTCGTAAATCACTAAACCATTCGCTAAGTCACTCGCTAAATTACTCAGTCGCTCAGCAAATAACTTACACACTCACTAAATGACTGCGGCCGTCTGGAACACTCTTTCTGTCAATATTGACAAACTAATTTCTTTAGAACTGATTAGCACGGTTAGCTACGTACGGTGCGAAAGAAGTTCAACATAAATACATACCTACAAATCACACTCGCTAAATCTCTCAGTAAATGTCTTCTCGCTCACGCACTTAATCACCCAGTCCCGCATTCACTCATTAAATCGCTAAACCACTCCCTCGTAAAAATGTTGGACTCGCTCACTCAACGGCTCACCCAGATACACCTTCAGTCATTTAATGATTTAGTCTTCATTGCAGTTGCTAAGACTCACCTTACACTCATCAACTCACTCAGCCGCTCGCTCACGTGCTCTCACTCTCTCACCTAGCAATCGAATCATCCGTTTCTACACTTCCACGCTCACCACAGCCGTCCGCTCATCTTCACAATAGCTCACTAGCCCACCTACTCACCCGCTCACGCACTCACCTACACACTCACTCACATACTCACTCATCCAAGCACTCACTCACCCACGCAATCACCAAGGCACTCACCCACCTACCCACGCACCCAACTACACACTCACCTACTCACTCACCCACGCACTCACTTAACTATCCACTCACCCACCCACGCAATCACCAAGTCACTCACTCACCTACCCACGCACCCAACTACACACTCACCTACTCACTCACTCACCACCAGTGTGGGTAGGCGCACAGGCCCCGGTTCACCACCTGCACCAACATCAACACGAGCAGCGCCAAGGGCAGGCGACAACCACGCGGAGACGAAGACGACGACGATGATGATGATGACGAAGAAGAAGAAGAAGATGGGGATAACTTGCTGGCCATGATGAACTTTATCTCCGTGGTCCGGGAGTTTGAGTGGCGCCCGATGTCGACGAGCCGAGTGGGGTGATGGGAATCACCAGGAGTCTCAAACGCGGGTGAGTAGTCGTGTGATGGGAAGGGGATGGAGAGGTAGGTGATGGTGCTGCTGCTGCTGATGATGGTGTTGATGATGTTGGGAGTGATGATGCTGCTGCTGGTGATGAAGACGATGGTGATTACACAAGTTACGCTGCTGTTGTTGATGACGATGCTGCTGCTGCTGATGATGTCGACTCGATTAATGTTGCTGATACTGATATGTCCGTGTGCTGATGATGATGCGCGTTATAGCGCAAGCGATGATGATGCTGATGATGATACGATAGTGCTGATGAAGATTCGATGGCGCTGCTGAGAATGTTACCGAAAGTTATTACTCAAGGTACGCTCCTCCTGCTGATGTTGTCCCTGCTACTGATGACAACGACACGACGCTGATGATTAACGGAGGCCCGATTCGAGTTATCACACCGATCACTGTGCTGATGATGTGGCGATCGACGGTGCCGATGGTGACCTTAATGACAGTCCAGGTGATTGCGCAGATGTTGCTACAGACGATGGCACAGGTGGCGATGCAGTGGCGTTAAGCGTGATTTGTATAAGGCGGCTGTCCTATATGCCAGTGTCTCTGTTTTTCTCTCTGTGTCTCTCGTCCTGTCTCTCTCTCTCTCTCTGTCTGTCTGTTCCTGTCTGTCTCTCTCCTTCTGTGTCTCTGTCTCTCTGTGTGTATGTCCCTGTCTCTCTCTCAATGTGTCTCTGTCCCTCTGTGTATCTCTTCCTGTCTGTCTGTCCGTCTCTCCCAATGTATCTCTGTCTCTCTCCGTGTCTCTCTCCGTGTCTCTTCCTGTCTCTCTCTCTTTCGTGCTTTGCAGACGGGGGGGGGGGGGCGACTCTCACAATCTGCACGATTTTGCCCGAGGAGAAAAAGAGAAAAAGGAGGAGGCGGAGGGAGAAGACGGGGGTAGATTTCGACTAAGACCACTACAAAGACAAAGATCCCCCGTTTAGCCTTAACGGACTTTTTGGGGCAAGTGCTGCTAGCGAGACCACTACACGCACATGCATACACAACGCTCGCACACACACACACTCCCACTTACTCTCGCACTCTCACTCAGACACCGCTGGGAGCGAATTGCGCAGCTCAATTGTAAACTCGCCGATGATCGGTGGGGCTGTCCTAAGCAAATTATGCCCCCCCCCTCCTCCTCCCCAAAACAACACACACACACACACAGCCAGGATTCTTGAATGGGCAGGGAAAGGAGGAGGAGATAGAAGGAGGAGGATAAGTAGTAGGAGATTCTTTTTTTTCATAAAATTGTCATAGACTCCCTGCTGATTCGGTCTCCATGGCTTCTTCAAGCAGGGCCATAACGAAGTCTGCGTCACTTCTCAGGCGCTCTGCCACAAAGCGAGAGGAGGGGTGGGGGCTGCAATGGATACGTGGAGGCGTCAGTGGCGGCGGGGGGGGGGGGGGGGATTGAGGGGGAGGAGGGGGAGGGGGGATGGAGGTGGAGGGGGTTGGGGGGGTAGATTTGACTTCCCTGGAGGGGGGAGAGAGGGATGGATGGATGGAGGGGAGGGAGTGGGGGGGGTATGGGGGGTGGGGTGTGTAAGGGGGGGGGGGGGGGTGATGCACGCCCTCAATGGAAAAGACAAGAGGCTGATGTGGTCGCATTTACTCGCAACAAAGGACACTTTGACATCAGAGCCGGGTTCAGTGGCGCCGGGCGCATTTGCACGGCCAGAGGAGGGCGTACACTGACGCCCGGCCTCATTGACGCCCTTCATTAATCCAGCTGCCAGCCCCTGCAATGAGACCCACCGTGAGATGACAGTGGTGGTGGTGGTGATGACGGCGAATGTCGAAAAAGCCAGATTTGTGGAATTACACCACCTGATGCCGTGTGTGTGTCGTTAAAGATAAGACCGTGCGTTGTAATCGTTTGACTTTCCTGCATTGTAGAACCTTAACACCATGCATTCTGCTCTCACGCGCTCTGCGTATTAGCATTTGACACCCAGAATTTCCCGCACTTCCGATTAGCACGGTTGGCAAGTTCAACATACATACATATCACCAAACACCCCGCATTACAACACTTAACACCCTCCATTATACTATCAGATTCCATGAATTGCATAACGTGGCACCGTGATTGACAGCGTCTGACAACCCTGCATGGTAATTGACTCCCTGCATTATACGAGCAGACAGCCTGCGTTCATCATCATCAGCAGCAGCAGCAGCAGCCATGGGTCTATCCACCGCTGGATGAAGGCCCCCCCCAAAGCCATCGCCGTCTCTCGCGGCCACGCGAAGATGCGGACAAGGTCACCTCGCCTGCTGCATGCGAGCCGATTTGCTATCGCTCCATCTCCCCGGTGTACGCGCTGCCTCTCTCTCTCTCTTCTTGGTGCGCTCCCTTCTTTGGCTGCCATTCCGTGATTCGTCTCGACCATTGGCTCCCTTATAACCGCCACGTGTTATGCCCAAGCCCACGTCACCTTTCTCAACGATCAACACGATGTCTCTTAATCATCCACGTTTTTTTTTCGGGTGAGTCCACGCGGTGATAAGTCTTGCGTCCAAATTATTGTCATTAACCACTCCATCATCCGACGAGATTGTCACGTTCATAAAGACATTATTATAATCATCATTAACGCGTGTCCAATATGTTGATTATTAAACTGTGACCGAAAAAGCTGCCGATCATCCTCATCAGGTGGTTGAATATTTTTATTTTTTTATGCACGACTGAATTTAACTCCAACCAACGTACCACTGGAGCACGTTCTCTGAATCCACGTGCTCCTCTCTGCGAGATTCCTCGCGTGACACCTCGCCGCTTTGCGCGCCACTCTTCAGCTTCGGTTCCACGTTCCGTTTCTCGCTCTCTCTCTCACTCTGTCTGTGATCCGCGTTTATGAACCACGTGATTACGCACTGGATTGAAAACTTTCTTCACTACGGACACACTGACGCGTTGTTCATTATCCCTGCATCATACCAGCTGACACCGTTCATTGATTAATGGGCAAGGGCCCTGGAGGGAATGCCGGTCCTATCTGCCGTGTAGGGGACACCTCAGTACATAGGGATATCAAGTTGATTAAATTTTATTTTTTATTAAACACGCGCCGCCGTTTCCGGCACAAACCTGACACTCAAAGCGTCATCACCGCTGGATAACTCAGCACGAATATCCTGTAACCATTGCAACAACACTGCCCCACCCACTGCTTGATATCACGGTTCGACTCATTCCATCAGCCCTGCTGGGGTCCATTAAAACAAGTACTGTGCCGCCTTGTGGTCGTGTTATGGGAGGGCTGACCCCTGGCATAGTAATGTGGATTTTTTACCGAAAACATGCAGGACATTAGCCTTTGCACTCATTACAAACGTGTACGGTCACGGCCGTGAATAGATTTATTGTCGAATTCACTTGGAGTATTCACCTCTCGATGCAAGCATCGCATCGCGTGTGAAAGAATCGACGCTTCTCCACCACGTAGTGCACGTCACACGTGATGCGTTCTCGTGATTACTCCAGCCACCGGAGGCCGCTGCAGTCACCGCAATTTCCAAATAATCGATGCTTACGTAGTGACTGACTCAGAGACACTAAGAGTAGGAGGCACTCTTGTTTATTAACACGGCCTGACAGTTAACACTTGGTAACTACGATTCCTAGTCAGGGCAGCTAGTGGACTGCTCGACTGACGACACCGAGATGGTGAAGACTCCAGCAGCAGCACGACGGGAATCTCACTCCACACGACAGCCCCGAGGTCCCCTCCCGGGGCCCCTCTTTTATACTGTCAGCGTGGCCTGCTGGCTCCGCCCCCGGCCACGCCCTCCTTCTGGAACCTACCAGCGGGTTCTCGATGTGCCCCTTCCGTGACCCTTCCCCTAGATCAGGGGTGGGCAAATTTTTTGACTCGCGGGCCACAATGGGTTCTAAAATTTGACAGAGGGGCCCGGGCCCGGAACAGATGGAGTGTTTGTGTGAACTAATATAAATGACATGTAAAAATCATTAAATGAAAGGATTTGGCCTTTAACAGGTAGCAAAGCATTTATTTGCAAGGCAATTTAACAAATTGCACGAACATGAACAATATAAAAACATGTCGTAACTCCCGGTCAAAGTGCGCCATCTAATGGGGAAATGGGGGCATTACAGGAGAAAGGTAAAATTTAATTTAATAATAATAATATTTGGACAAGTTCGGCAGGCCGGATTAAAAAGCCCAACGGGCCGTATACGGCCCGGGGGCCGTACTTTGCCCATGTCTGCCCTAGATCCCTCTCTAGTCTATCACGTGACCTGCTGTCAGTCAGGGCTGCTGTAAGCTGCAGATCCCCTTCCCTGCCAGCAGTCAGCGCTATGCTGCCACGTGACCGATTCTATGTCACTGCACTTACATGAATCGCGACAATTAATCGAATTCGCCGGATGATGAGAGGAGAGAATCGTTCCAGCCACGGGCAATTACTATGAGGATCGATGGATGCTGCACTTAGCCACGATTATATGAAATACTCCATTGTTGTACCGTAGTATGCATAGCGCCGTTGTGTACCCATGTAATACAGCACTGCGGGGGCAGCAGCGAGGGTTGTGGGATCACACACACACACCCAGGTGGGCTGTGAAACTCCCGTCTTCCCCGTGAGCGTCGAGTAGGAGCCCACACCGTGGCTTGCCAGGAGAAGGCAGTACAGCAAAATGTGAACTCCACCCTTTTCCATCTGCATGGTGTAACGTATTTCCCCTGTTTCCTCCCACATGGAAAACATAACCATTAATTGGCCAATAACATCTTAGTATATAGAGGAAGGCAGAGCTTGGGGGAGGGGAATTTGGCGCGTGGCTGCTGCTGCCTATTGCCGCTCGCTCGTCTGCAGTTCCTCCACGCGCCTCTGAGTCGTCCTCTCTCTCCTCTCTCTACGACAGAATGTACTCGGTCATCCTCGCATCAGCAGCGGCGGCGTTTGGCTGCGAGCCATCATACAAAGACGGTGGCCACCGCATCGCGCGCTTTCGGATGCGCTTCTGGGGCCGTCTGGAACGCTCTTCCTTCCCATAATAGGAAGTCCCTGGGAGCTATGCACTTTTAAATGAACTCTAGATTGGAAACTCAGTTCTTTAAAACTGCCTTTTTTGTGTTAAGACTGTCGTCCTTCTGCCGCACCTCCGATTGGCACGGTTGGCCACGGACGGTGCTAAAGAAGTTCTACATGCATGCGCACGTGACGGCGGCGGCCGCGCGGCGTCACAACTCGACGTCATCATTGGCACCACTGTAAGTGGCATGGGGCCTGAGTCCACGGAAATGGCCAGCACGCCGTCCTCATCTTCATCGTGTTTACCTTTCGAAGTTATTTATTTTTGCCTTTCCTCAATTTTTCACTCCCATCGTGTTTTTTTAATGTGTTTGTTGTTGTAACCTTCTGACCCCAGTGTCCCTACTGGACTTGTGTGTGTGTGGGGGGGGGGGGAGATCTTCATAGCTCATCGGATTCCTCCAGTAAACAAACATATTTTTATTCTGACAATCTTGTGGCACAGATCTTCTGAGGTGTCAATGAATGAAGTACCAGTACTGTTTTTAAATTACATTTATTTCTCATGAACTATTTTCCGGAGTTCAGCCCTGACCGGGCGCCACGGTGGCTAGGAGATGTTAACTACCTCGCCTGATATGCAGGAGGTCGTGGGGTCGATCCCGACCCTGACGCCTGCTGCTGTATATTTGGAGTTTGCGTGTTCTCCCTGTGGTCGTGTGGATTTTTCTCCGGGTTCTCCGGTTTTTCCCTCCACAATTTAGAAACATGCGTTTAGAGTGCTATAAATTATACATTTTCACGTGATGAGCCACTTCGTTGAGCTATAACTTGTGGCCAGGCCGCTTCTGAAAAAAAGAGCTATATAGCTCAGAGAGCCTTACCTGATAAAAATTGTAAAAATGTTTCAGTTTGAAATATGTGCGGCTGAAACTGAGCCCCAGTTCGCCTGGTTCCCCCTGCTGGGAAAAAGAACGACATTGTTTATCCTGCCCTGTGGCGTAGCTGACAGTTGTACTCATTCAGAGACATTGTATCTCGCTCACGGAGCAAAAGCGACCTCTGGCGGAGAGACAAAGGCGGTGCAGGGGTGAAGCAATAGGGAAGCAGTGTCCCTACTGGACGTGTGTGGAAACACGCCGCACAAGAGGCGCGAAGAGGAATCCACAGACGAGTGGCAAGGCAGCAAGCAACCACGCGTTGATGAACCGGCCGCAAGCTCTGCGGTTCTCTGTTCATAAGCGTGTTGTCGGCCTATTGCAAGTGGCGAAGGCGGTAGTGTAGCGGGTAGCGGTGAGCGCTGTTGCCCTACGAACTCCGGCTAATCCGGGTTCGATTCCCGCTCACGGATCAACACCGGTGACGATGATCTGAACCGGTCCTGGGCCTCTCTTAGGTCGATTCAGCCTCAAATGAGTACCTGGTGCGGTGCGTAAACATCGCCACTAAGGAGACAAAGGCGGCCGGGCGTGGTGCTGGCCCCCCACCCCCTCCCGTACCATTCCGGCCTTCATAAAGTGCTCGCCAACAGCACTTGCCCCAACAGTCTGTTAAGGCTACACGGTGGATCTTTGTCTTGGGAATAGAAAGCTGAGCTGTAAATGAGTATTTACGATGACAATGCCTCATTTGAAAGACAACATATGGAGGGAGAAATCTGGAAGAGGATATTTTGGTCTACTCTTCCACCCTGGCCAGACGTCTTGGAAGAACATGGGAGTCACAACATTTTAGGGGCCGTCCATAAATGACGTCACGCGATTTTGGACGATTTTTGACCGCCCCCCTCGTCGCACGTCGTCACAAAAAGTCAGACCCCCTCAAATATGACGTCACAAAACTCTGCCCCCCCCCCCCCAAATAAAACATGCTTCAAATCGCTTTAAACTATTGTCATTGTAGTGCGTATTTAATTTGCCTCTGCACTCTGATGTAGGAGAAAACATTTATTAAAACGTCTAATTAAGTAGAACGTGTTGTCTATATTTATTTAAAGTTGCGCATTGAGATGTGACTTCACATTTCTCAAACCCCCCCCCCCCCCCCCCTTCGTCACACATCGTCACAAATGTCTGACCCCCCCCCCCCCTTAGGTGCGTGACGTCATTTATGGACGGCCCCTTACCCCACAGTTGTGGATACAGGACTGTTGTGGTTAAATAAAGGACATCCACTCCGAGTAATCACACTCATCGACAGGCTACGTGGTTTGGTGAAATACCTAAATCAGTCGGTGGCATCGAATAACTCTGCACGTGGCCAGACGATCACGTGACCTCCATCCCCTTTACGGTCAGGAGAAATCACGTGACTCCCCCCCACCCCTCACAAGGTAAGGGGGGTCACGTGATTCTTCCTGGGGGGGGGGGGGTTATATAGTCACGTGATTCTTAGGGGGTAATGGAGTCACGTGTTTCCTCAGGGGGGGGGGGGGGGGGTAATGGAGTCACGTGATTCCTCTTCAGGGGGCGGGGGGTAATGGAGTCACGTGATTTCTCAGGGTGGGTAATGGATCCACGTGATTTCTCAGGGGGGGGGGGAATGGAGTCATGTAATCTCTCCGGGGGGTAATGGGGTCACGTGATTTTTCAGGGCGGGGGGGTCATGGAGTCACGTGATTTCTCCTGGTGGGTAATGGAGTCAAGTGATTCCTCAGGGGGGGTAATGGTGTTACGTGATTTTTCAGGGCGGGGGGGGGGTAATGGAATCACGTGATCCCTCCGGGGGGGTTAATGGAGTCACGTGATTCCACTTCAAGGGGCGGTGGGTAATGGAGTCACGTGATTTCTCCTGGTGGGTAATGGAGTCACGTGATCTCTCCGGGGGGTAATGGTGTCACGTGATTTTTCAGGGCGGGGGGGTAATGGAGTCACGTGATTTCTCCTGGTGGGTAATGGAGTCAAGTGATTCCTCAGGGGGGGTAATGGTGTTAAGTGATTTTTCAGGGCGGGGGGGGGGGTAATGGAATCACGTGATCCCTCCGGGGGGGGTTAATGGAGTCACGTGATTCCACTTCAAGGGGCGGTGGATAATGGAGTCACGTGATTTCTCGTGGTGGGTAATGGAGTCACGTGATTCCTCGGGGGGGGGGGTAATGGCGTCACGTGATTTTTCAGGGCGCGGGGGGGGGGTAATGGAGTCACGTGATCCCTCCGGGGGGCAATCGGGTCACGTGATTCCTCTTCAGGGGGCGGGGGCTGGAGGATTCCACCCCCCCCCCCGACGCGACTGAGCCCCGCCCCGCCCGTCCCACGTGATTCGCCGCCGGAGCGCCGCGCCGGTTCCGGGCTCGCGGGGAGATAGCGGTGGTGGTGGCCGGCGTAGTGACATCAACCACGGCGGTGCTAATAATAATACTACACTACTCAGCATTAGCATCATCATAATCGTGAAGGATAAGGATGGTTATAGCAGGGGCAGCGAGACAACCACTTTGTGTGGTGATGACGGTACGCTGCCCCACGTTGATAAGAACAATTTTGTGTTAATAGCTACGACTGTTTTGATTCAAAGCTTTCGTGACTGCAGGGATTCATATTCTTGGTTCTATTGTGAGAATTTTATTGTTTTATATTTTTATTATTTTATTGTTTCCCTTCTACATGACTTTACCGAAAGAACCAAGAATATAGCTACAGCTGTGTTCAAAACAACAGCAGCGCCGACGACTCACGACTGACGATACGGACAACAGCGACAACTGCATATGTACTAGTTACACAATCTTCAGCAACAACAGCAACTGGATATGGTGACAGCATCGTCAGCACCAACAGCAACTGGATCAGCACGGTTGGCCACTACGTACGGCGCGAAAGAAGTTCCACGTACATATGGCCACGATGACTCCCCCCAACGTGAACGACAGCAGCTGGATGCAGTAACGCCGGCGCCTTCAGCAACAACAACAACGTCAACAACGTCAACAACATTTAGCGGTAGCAATTAGTCATTAAGTCGGCCACATTTGGCGAATTGTAATCACGAGGGCCCTCCCCCCCCCCCACTCGCGCCAAGGTGGTCGAGACCCACGCGGACAGCGATCGTCCCACAGCAGTAACACAACCCACCGACTCGATTCCGTGCCGAAGTTGATGGTTACGGGCGACAATGCACGTGGCGAGAGCCGACGAGGTGACCCCTCTGCTCCAGGCGCAGCCGCCGAGCCAGCCCTGGCAGGAGGTGGAAACCGAGAAGCTGTGGCGTCTGGGTTTGAATCGGGAGCAGGGTCAGCAGTCGGGTCACGGCCAGGGTCAAAGTTGGAGCCACGGCCAGGGTCAGAATTGGAGCCACGGCCAGGCTCGGGGAGACTTCTCTCGGAGACCTGGTCATGGACAGGGTGAAGGTTCGAACCCAGGTGACCTGGGTCGAGATCCCATCTGCGACTCGGTCACTTCGGGCCTCCGGTCCGTGGGGTTGGTGAACGACGCCAACGGTGGCGGCGTGAATGACGAGGCGGAGGTGGCGGTCACGCCAGGACGCGCGTATCGGCGCCGCTGGGCCGTGTTGGCCGCCTTCTGTTGCCTCTCGTTCCTGCAGGGCCAGGTGTGGAACACCTGGGGGCCCGTGGCCGAGTCGGCACGGCTCGTGTTCGGCTGGGGCCCTGGCGACGTGGCCCTGCTGGTGGTGTGGGGCCCCGTGGGGTTCATCCTCTGCCCGCTGTCTGTGCTGCTCCTGGACAAGCGAGGTGACTCGGGTCATTCGTTTGTTTGCGTTGTTGAAGGTTTGACTGTCGTGGCATGGGGACTGCCTTGTGCCTGTAAACCAACTCTTGTCGATGCGGGGGTTGGTGGATCGCACGCAAATTCGTGAAACGCCCTCTCTACCCGTGGGCGTCGAGTTTGCCATCTCCTGGCTTTGAAAACACTCCGTAAAAATGTGTTTTTTTTTTAGCCAAACATCCTAATATATTCGGACCATCCTGATAAAACAGTTGAGATTCGATGAGGCGTCCCTGATTTAATAGAGGGCATCATTATTTTTAACTGACACAAGTCTCCTTCACTGTTCCGCTTGTTTCGCTGAACTCTCTCATCCTGGTAAGATCAGGGCTAGCACTTGCTGGCTTTGTGGTCTGATCCTCTGACTCGTACCCCGGACACGTATTCATCCTCCCTGCTACCTTGTCACCACATCTGTGCCCCCCCCCTCCATGTCTCCCCCTGCCACATTCCCCACCACTGCTGCAGGCCTGCGCAGCTCGCTGCTGGCCACGTCGCTGGTGGTGGTTCTGGGCTGCTCGCTCCGAGTGATCCCCACGGCCGACAGCGCCACCAGGAAATGGTAATTACCTAACGGGCGCTGTAATCCTTGCTCCGACGCTAAGCGCAATAACAAAGTTAATCCGAGCCAGGCGTGATGGCGGTTGGTACCGTGGCCAGTGGTCCGGCGCTTCGGAGGGAAATGTTGAGAATGGCAAACTCACTGGGTTTTCGTGAGGTGGCCAAGAGATGGCATTATGGGATATTGTGGTAATCCATATATTCTAAAGTTTTTATTTATTTAAAGCTTTCGTGACTGCAGGGATTCATATTCTTGGTTCTTTCGGTAAAGTCACGTAGAAGGGAAACAACAAAATTATAAAAATATAAAACAATAAAATTCTCACGACGTTTCGACTGCAACACAAGCAATCATCATCAGGTGTGAAAACCACGGCACGAAATTTGGAAAAAAGTGGTGGTTATTTTTAACGTTAGCACCACGGAGAGCGATTTGACAGTTTGTTTAGATGGACGAGTCCATCTATGTTCGGAAAAGAGGAGGGGGGAGACGAAAATAATGGATGCGGTCTGAAAGCGTGAACAATCAATTAAGACCCGAAATGGTTTATCAAATCCTTCCAATGATTGCTAAGCCAGAATCCATCTTCTTGGTTGAAATTGTCTCTGTGTTTGTATATGTGGATAGCCTCATGAACGAATCTCTCATGGTAGCCAGATGGCTTGCAAAGAACCTCTGTCTTGGAGAAGTCAATGTCATGTGAGCCTACTGAATTATAACAGTGATCTGCCACGGCCGAGGTGTTGGTCCTACCGTGTTTTAGGTCTGCTTTGTGTACACGAATGCGGTCCGAGACATGTCGTTTGGTTTCTCCAATGTAACTACTACCACAGAGGCAACTTAGTTTGTAGACGCCAGGGTACTGTATGTCCGGAATCACATCTTTTACAGACGGAACCAGATCACGGATTTTATGTAATGTGTTGAATCGGACCTGGATCTTGTGTTTATTCAAGAATTTGGAGATCTTTTTTTGTGATCCCCGCAATGTAGGGCAAAGTGATGGTTTTGAAAGGCTCCTCAAGAGGGTCCTTCTTCATGGTTGGAGTGATAGCTTTGCGGATTGTGTAGTCGGAGTGACGTCACCCACTACTCGCCTACAAAAGTTAAACATAAATAACAGGCGAGGTTTCGGATAATGGCCCTTCTTCAAAGCAATGCAAATAGAGAGGCCAGAGAGATAGATTAGAGACAGCACCTTTACCCCATGGGGTCTGATTAGCATTAAATGTTAGCTTTTTTTTCCACGTGAAATTTTTTTAAATTGCCATATTAATAGCTATCTACAGCGAATGAGCTAACAAACAACGATATACACTTCCAAGGACAAACTTATGCTGGAAAGCGTCAAAAACCCATGCACATGCGTGTTTTTTCTTTCTTGTTTGCCCACAGATGGGTACGCGGTACCGAGTGTTGCTAATGCATGCACAGTGACGTCTGCACTGCCATAACCTGTCCAGTCCCTAGTTCCTCTTTTGCAATGCATCATCGCTGCCCACTCGTAGCTTTGACGATAACATTCTGTGTTGTCGTCAATTTGTATCCTTTAAGGCACCAACTTCCGCTATCCGATTTCTTAGCATTCAAATCTGTAGGTCAGTAAATGGAATTATATCATTTCTGTGAAGTATGGAAATGCAGCTTTTTTTAACTATCCTTGGCTTATACTGTAACCAAGCCACTCTACTGCGGCGGCTCCATAAACAGCCACACAAACCCAGCCAGTGCTCAGTCTTGTGAGAAAGATGAGTCACCGTTTGGATACTTATCTCATAGTCATCACATGATCGCCAGTTTGCCTGTCATCCTTGGCAGCTTTACTGGCTAGGGTGTGTCTGGTGCCTTAAGCTCGCCCCTGACCTCTGTCCTCTGACCTCACCATTGACCTCTCACCCATGACCTAACCAATCATCTCCGACCTCTGACCGGCGTTAATTTTGTCAGCACGTTAGTCTTTATAGCCCTAGGCTCGTCGCCGACAACCTGAGTAAGTTTAGTCAAGTCTCAAGTCTGAATTTCACTTTGTCATTACATACTGGCTACGCTGACACTGGACAACGCGTGAATGTGGTCATGATTTTTAAAAACATTTCATTGAATTAACTAACTCTGCCGTTGACCTCTCATCGCTTGTCCTCTTGCGGCTAACCTCCGAATGCCACCGCAGGCTTATCCAAGTGGGGCAGCTGCTGAACGGCATTGCCGGAACGACGACCATGGCGGCGCCGCCTTACCTCTCGGCCGCGTGGTTCCCGGCCAAGCAGCGGACCACGGCCACAGCCATCGCCTCGCTCATCGGATACCTGGGTGCTGCCTCCGCCTTCCTGCTGGGCCCCGCCGTCGTGCCGGCACCAGGGCCCAAGCCGGGGCCCGCGGAATTGCAGCTCATCACCAAGCGCATTGACATAATGCTCTATGCGCGTACGTGGCCGGTGGTGGTGGTGGTGGTGGCGATGAGGGTGATAGTGATTACAGCGGTGGTGCTGGTGGTGTCGGTGGCGCAGTGATAGAGTTTGTAGTTGTAGTGATTTATGGCGATTGTGGTGTGGCAGTGGTGGTGTCTTGTCGTCGTAGTGTTCTCGGTGGTGGCGACGATATTGACGGTGGCGGACATGTAACCAGTGCAGTGATCATCGGTTCAAATCAATTGTTACGCCCACGATGCATGCTGCACGTGTCGTGAGCGAGACACGACACAAATGAGACGGCGGAAACGGCAACGCGAGAGAGCAGACGTTTGTAGTCGACTCGCGGCTCCGGCTCGAGACAACTCGCGCCTACTGGGTACACACACGACGGACGAGAGCGCTTTGTCTTTTCTTTGGGTTGCGCCTTGTTGCTTTTGGACGATAACAGTCACGACCCCCCCCCCCCCACCCCTCCGGCACCTCCCCTCCGCACACGCACGTACACACAGAGGCGGCCTACGCCGGACTGCTGCTGGTGATCATCCTGCTCTTCCTGCCGGCGCTGCCCCCGCGCCCGCCCAGCCTCTCCGCCGCCGCCACGCGCCTGCCGTACCGCGCCGCCTTGCGCAAGCTCGCCAGGTCGGAAATCAACGCGCCCCCCCCCCCCCCCCCCGCCCCCACATCAGCCCTGCCAATTGACCTTTAAATGGGGTGAGGGGCACAGTTGAGACAAACTTTAAGCAAAGGTTACCCGCTAAACGGACTGATTAACGATATAACCTGCCCTTGTCTCTCGCGCTTACTCTGTTCTGTCTCTCGAACTTCACCGAAGTGGATAACACTGAATGAAACCCACCACTGGCGTTAAATGTCGTATCAAGATTTTTTTTTTACTTCACGATAAGAATTTAGAAGGGGTGGCTGAGCTTTCAGCTGTGGGGGATGGGGCGGTGGGGAGGGGGGGTCTCAGCCCACTGCAGCCCACAGCTGACACTACAGGGCTGACTAACACAGCAACCTGTAGGGTTGCCACTTGTCCAGGTTTTAACAGGTTGAACAGGTTTAACTTGGACAATCCGCGAATTGGCAGCTGTGTTTGGGTGGCTGAAGGCCACTGGCAGCCCCTGGTGGCCTTCAGAGCGACCCCTGACGTGTGGCCCCTGACAATTCACAAATAGTGGAAACACCCCTTGCAGGCGGTGTGGCGACCCTCGCACTGCCGACGTCTTATCGGAAAATGAGTGGCGAACACTGCACGGTTTTGATGGACCTAGTAGCTGGCTGACTGAGAGATGTGCTCGGGCTTGGTCTATGTGCATCGTGCCACTGCAGGAGCCGCCGCTTCTGGCTCATCGCCCTGGCCTACGGCGTTGCTTCGGGCGTCGTGGGCGGGTGGAGCGGAGTCCTCGACGTCATCCTGAGCCCCAACGGCGTCTCGCAGGTGACGGCGCTCGCCGGGACACGGCGGACTGTTGACAAGTGGTTCTGCGACGTCGTCTTCCACGGCCGCAGCCGTAGTGTCTACAAACCGGGCGGGGGGCGGGGGGGGGGGGGACCGTTACCGTTCCGCTTTCGAGATTTTTTTCCCCCGAACGGACGCCTTTGTGTCGTCACGCAAAGCCGACGGCACGGTTGCGGTATATCTTCACCTGTGCACGTAGAGCCCTCGCTCAAACCCCCTTTGCCGGATGAGGGCCTCCCCGCCCGTGCCTGTGCGGGTCGTAGGCTACTTGACCGTTACTTCTTCAACCACGCTCGTCAGTGCGGGCCGGTGAGTGAAAGCAGCAACAGGCACGCGGATGGTGTGAGTACGGCAAGACAGTGGATTATGCCTCGCATTTTGCCACCCATGGCATGATCTCTTCTGCACGGTTGTTTTAAGCGACACGCTCACCGTTGTCGAAGTTTATTTTTCGATGAAAAGTAAATTCCTCCATTCCATGTAGAGCTCCGTATGCTATATATTCAAGAAAAGTAGGAAGTTTAATATGAATTTTAAAAAAACCGACATGCTAACCTTGTAGATTTTTCAACATACAACTAAACATATCAATACAAACAATACACTATTGGGGGGAAAAAAAACGTTCAAGTTCGTCATCGCTGGATCATCCCCAGGGTAATGAGCAGGGCAGGGGGGTCCCGGATATAACGAAACCACAGATTTGGTGAAATGCACGCAAATTAAGCTTTGAAGCACATGTTTGTTGTTCACCTACGTATAATGGGGACAAAAACGTAGAAAGTTGTTGTCAGTTCTCATGGCAGATTAATCAAATGAATCGGTCACGGACTTTCGATTGAGCAGCAGCTGTTAAATGGGCGATTGAGCGTGGAATGCCACATTCTCTGTCTTCCTATTTTCTCACAATCTGGATAACAATACGCACACAAACATTCGAGAGTTATTAACCATATTCTGTGGATTATTTGACGTCCTGGAATGTAAGGCGCACCCCACATTTGTAGCCAATGTCGATAAAGTTATGCAACACACGACAATGGCACCAGCCGCCATTCGCAACTAGGTGGCGGTGACATGACCACGGCGCATGTGCCAAGTTTTGAAGGCTCGCTGTTGGCAGGAGTTCATGGGACAGACCCCCAGGGTGTTATGGGTTTACTGACTGAGATGACTGGCAGATGGCACCACCTTTGCCACCTCGCTGTGTATGAGTCACCCGACACTCCGCTCTGCCCTCCGCTGTAGCTGGAGGGCGCCTGCTTCTGACTAACACACACATGCACACACATGATTATGAGCCATACCCCCAAATTTTTCTTTAAATTACAGGACACAAAAAAGGTGCATCACAATCCAGAGATAACGGTAACTCTGTAAACACTATGAGACCTCCTTTGCCAGTAGCAAGATATAATAATAGGTTTTTACCCTTTTATCTGGCACCAAAACTGACACCTTTATACAAGGGATCATGTTTGCAATAACCACATTTTGCATTTTGACTGCTTGTGTTGTGGTTATTGCAAACATGATCCCTTGTATAAAGGTGTCAGTTTTGGTGCCAGATAAAAGGGTAAAAACCTATTACTATAACTCTTTAAACGTCAAGCTGAGTTTCCGTGATCTGTCGTGTTGTGTCTTACGGCAGGCAAAGGCCGGCTGGGTTGGTTTTTCCTGCACCACGGTTGGAAGTATCGCCGGCATCATCATATCCAGGTGAACGAGAGTTACATTTTAACTTGCAATTTTATCGAGGGAGTGTGTGTCGTCTTGGTGTGGTATGGGATTGTTCTTGTTGTTGTGTTGCTGCCTTGCCCAAGATTGCAAAATCGGCAGGAATTTATGGACTTATGCAATTTGTGCTTATAAACTATATATTTCTTTTTAGTGACTTGCTTACCTTTTCTATACTGTGCACTTTTATAGTTTTTTGTATTCTTCGTTGTAACTTGTTGTCCATTCCCCGCTTGGAAAGAGAGCTTCATAGCTCATCGGATTCCCCCAAGGTAAATAAATATGCTGTTCTGATTCTGAACAGACCACCTCTCTCTCTCTCTCACACACCTCCTCCCCGCCACCTGATGTATGGCCCTGTGCAGAAACTACTCGGCAAATAACAGTGCATTGTGGGCATCAGAATTTTTTATATGTGATATTAGCAATTGGGTGGGGAGACCGTCATCAAGCAGTGAATGGCCAATGGCTGATGATGATCATGGCAACTGTAATGTCATATGCTACAGCCACTATGTAGAACACTCTGTCTCTGCGATGACATTTGGATGGTTCATCGCATGCCGATCTGCCGAATCCTTGTTGTACTAACGGCAAATTTCCCAGAACCCCCTTGGCGATTATTTTTTTTCAAAGTCTGGTGGCGGCCCACATTTGAGCGGTGGTGGCGTGGTGTTAGCGTGGCGTTCGTGCGTCCGTGCGGCAGGTTCGCTGACTACTTTGCGGGCCAGCTGAAGGCGATGCTGATGGTGATCTACACGGCCGCCACCCTCGCCGCCGTCTGGTTCACGCTCATGTCCTACGGCAACATTCCCTTCCTGCCGTTTGACACAGGTGCGAGCGCACGGACCGCCAGGGCGAGTGCCGTTTGCAAGCGCCTATTGAAGGCGCACCTCCAATTAGTGTGGCTGGCTACGTACGGTGTGAAAGAGGTTCAACGTACATACATGTGAGGGAGTGGAGAGTCCAGCACCACTCCCCTGCTGCCTATGTATCCCCAGTGCTGATGTTTTACATACAAAACAAGGTACTAATTTTAGGCTAAGCCAGCATAGGGGTTGGCACAAGAGTGGTTCAGATAGCACAGAACTAATTTCACGATCCCTTAAAGTGTCCTCTTTTATCCGCTTCCATGCGCTGCTCTCTGATAGAGGGGCGAGTGACCATGTGCCCCACCTAGTATTGATAAAGGGTAATTAATGGGGTTAGTTGGGCTGTGGCTGCATCTCCAGCATTTGGTTAAATGCTTTTACCTTAAGTCAACAGGCAAGTTCAGTCTCTGTAGGCCCCACCTCTTCCTCTGCATTCCCCACCCCCTTAGTCGTTCGGCCCTATCCCATTCTGATTTTGAGACCCCATATTTTCCTCTTTGGGCTCCGCACCTTTCCTTTTAATGCCATGCCCCTTCATCTTTAGGCCCCGCCTCTTTCTCTTTAGGCTCCACCCCTTCCCCCCGGACACAACCATGGGCGGGTCTGGGTAGTGGCGGGGGTTGCGGACGGTGGAGGGAGTGAGCACGCAAGGCAATAAATAGCTAGTGGTGAGTGGGGACATGTGTGTATGTTTGTTGAACTCTTTTCGCACCATACCTAGGCACAACCGTGTTAATCCGAGGTGTGTGACAGCGGAGGTAGGGGTGGCGTAGCCTCACGATGACGCCCAAACTCCCCGTGGCCCGCAGGCAGCCTGTACGCGTGCACGCTGCTGCTGGGTGTGACCACCAACAGCAGCATCCCGCTGTTCTTCGAGCTCTTCGTGGAGACCACCTACCCCGTGCCCGAGGGCATCACTTGCGGCATCGTCACCTTCCTCAGCAACCTCTTTGCGGGGCTCCTGCTGGCCTTCCTCATGGTTTACCCCGAAGGCAGGTTCTCGCTCTCCGCGCCCGCACGCCCCTAGTGTGGGACACCAGTGTTACTACTAAAGCTAAACTATTTTTTATTTTACCAGGTAATGCCCACTGAGCTTATACAGCTCTTTTTCAGAAGTGGCCTGGCCAGAAATGATAGCTCAACGAAGTGGCTTACCACGTGTAAATTTATAGCGGACAAATACTCTGAACACTTGTTGATTATAAATGTAGAGGGAAAAACCAGAAGACCTGGAGAAAAATCCACGCGATCACGGGGAGAACACGCAAACTCAAAATATTCAGGCGTCGGGGTCAGGATCGAACCCACAACCTCCTGTATACCAGACGAGGCAGTTAACATCTCGCAACCGCGCTGTTGTACTGTGTTATGGTTCTGAATATGATCTCTCCTCGTTACAGACGTGCTGTGGTTGAACTGGGTGCTCGTGTTCTCGTGTGTCCTGACCGTGTTCCTCGTGCTGCTCTACCGCGAGGGATACAACCGCCTAAAGCTCGAAGCTGTCGCGAGCTCGTGAGCCGGGGCAAGTTGGCTCCGGCCGCACCGCTCATCACAGCTCACCACAGCTCACCACCGCTCGCCACCGCTCACCACCGCTCGCCACCGCTCACCACCACTAAAACCGCGATGCACTCAGAGCAATAGTTGCCACGAAATCTTACGGTTTAAAAAAATAATAATGCGGTTTTCCAAATCTGGACCAATCTAATTACTGCTGTTATCCGTCGTGGGCAACTGAGATGGCAATTTCCAATACGATCGCAGTTGGAGGTCACATGACTACTCGAAGTTGTGCGCCCAGCACTGCTGGTTAGAAAGCACAAGTTTTCAACAACAAACTCTCCTTTATATGAATTACTGCAGTCACGAAAGCTTTAAATCAAAATTTAAACTCTCCTTTAATTGGACAGACGTAACCCCCATCACTCTACGACAGTGCCGCACCAAGTTGCCATGACTGCTCATGACTAAAACACCTCGTCTGTGATGATTTTTTGGCGACCATTTTCCTGGATGTTGCGCGGATGTTGCCTGGATGTTGCCCTCGTGCATCAAGACCTTCAGCGGGGCTATCAGCCCGGCGATACGGAACTTCCAACGTTGTAGAACGACCCTACGGGCGACCGCACGAGGAGGCACGCGCGCCTGCTCAAATTCACGCAAACGCCCTCGCAGGAACCGGGATCCCGTGGCCCGTCTGTTTTTAACGAGTTTTGTTAACCGCGCGTCGCATGAGATAAACGACGCGCAAAAACGGCACGGAAATCTTCCTGATGCGACTCGCCGATTGAAGGGGCGGCGTCGACCACTGTAGCTGGGAAGCGCTGCTGTCACGTTCGCAGGGTTCGTTTCCCCCCGACTAGTGAAACACGTGCAATAATTTTAAGAGATACCTTTTTTTATTTTTCCAAAAATATATATTGAGAAAATGCATGTTTTGTTTTAATCCGGGTGATTTTAAAAGGACTTCTGTGTTTCCGTAGCGGGCTGATTCGTGTTCCCACCGTGCTCACTTGATTCCTGGCGTTTGACCCCCCGTGACGGTTGTTGTTTACTGGGGACGAACCTTGCAGCTGTAATGGGGGGTTCACCTACCCTCCTCCTCCTCCTCACCCACGTGCACTTGGTCTCACCCAAGCCGGCCAGCGTGCACACTTGGGAGATACCATTACGGGTTGTGGGGGGGGGCGGGGAGATGCAAGAATTTTGGAACCATAGCTCGATCTCGTGACGAGTTTATGTCTACGTATGTTGAACTTCTTTCGCAACGTGTTGTCGTGATTTTTAAATGTGTATACAACTTTAAAGGACTTTATTTGCCAGTGATTGACCACAGACTGGGAACTATTTTACCAGTATTTTCTCAAACACTGCCTTAAAACGTGTAATGTGTAACAATCATACGTTTTGGGTGAGAGCATATTGTTTTAGTCTTTTAAGCACTGAACACATTTGTGCGGTACGTGCCACTTTAGCCGACTTAACCGTTGCACTGACCCTCCGGAAGAGGTTTTCATCATTTTTTTCCGGGAATTATGTTTCCAGATGGCAAACTTTTTGCCGTAAAAGTGTACTTTGGATCCAATGACCACACCGAAAATCGTGTTGTTGCTGATCGTTTTTAAATACTGTGCACATATTACATTTCTCACGTGACGGCAAAAACAAATAAACACTTTTGTTCTGCCGAGCGATATTGTTGCCTCTCCTGTTTCCCTACGGCTCGTGTTTGTGGACTGCCCATTATGGGGTGGACAGAGAAGGCCGATTGATATGGATGAAGTGAAGATCAAGTGGGGGCGAGTGGTCTGAATGTTGGGACTTGGAAAAGCAAACGCAAGCGTGTTGGGAAATGCGGCCTCCTAAATCAGGGACACCACAGCCCACCCCAGGCCCCTGTCGCTCAAAAAAAAACCAGGTTGCCGCTGGTCACAAGACAGAGATCACGTGACGTTTGTTTTTATTGTGCGTTTTGTGTAACTAAGGAGGTGTGTGTGTGTTCCTGTGTTTATTTGTCTTGTCACCACAACGTGGCCCTAATTAGCGTGCAATACCTGGCAACCCCTTACCTTAGTACAGACCGATTCACCCCGTGCCCTGATCAATCTCAACGTGCATCCTACACAGTCCCATCTCAAGGGAGAAACACAAATAGACCAAAAAAATGTGTTGTGCCCGTATTGAAACGGCTCATAACTCAATTTCCCTGTACAAGAATACGGGGTAAACCGTATGGGTTGACAGCGATGAGGCGTTTCGGGTCAATTTATCCTCAGTTGTGATAAACTCACATGCACGAGAGGACGTACACTCCTCCTCTGTGCGATGGTGATCAACTTGGCGCCGTAAACTCGCTCCCCGTATGCGTTGGTGGGGGGAGGGAATGGATGGAGTTAGTTCCCTGGCCGACACTGAAGAGAGAGCGAGAGAGATCATTCTTGCTCGACCGGTTTGGATGACCGACCGAGTGAGTGTAAGCAGCAGCAGCAGCCTGGAAGAAGGGGGAATCGCTACAGGCTCGGTTGTACACACGTCCTGGAGCGAGTCAGTTCCACGTGTCCCGAGGCCAAGCAAGAGAAGCGGCGAGTTTCTCCCAACTCGCCCAACACCAACCCAACAACAGTTAAGTGGAGTTCACCTGCCGTTCGCTAACCTCGCTATGTTGAGATAGAGTGTTGAAAAGTGTGGTGAATATTTTCTGCGCATGGATGTTCAGTGCGTCGGGGTGGGTCTAGACTCTAGAGTCTCACCTGTGCCGGATTAAGCTCGTGCGGGGCCTGTAGCACAAAGGGGCCCTACATTTAAAAAAAACACAAATATAAAAACACGACATTTTAACTTGCACAGTAAAGTAATTGGATTTTTTCATTCGCTATACGACAATTCGCTAACCTTAGTCGTTCATAAAAGTTGAAGTCGGTATAGTACTATAGTAATAGAGCAAAGTGGAGAATCACTGAACCGGAATTGATAGCTTGAAAGCATTTAGCGCGGGGCCCTTGAAAGTGCGGGGCCCGCAGCACGTGTATGGTAATCCGGCACTGAGTCTTTACCGATGGATGTGGTAATCTGGGCGAGGACAGCAACAGGGGGGACCGAGAGGGCCCACTCTTTGAGAGTGGCGTAGCACGGTTGGCTACGTGCGGTGCGAAAGAAGTTCAACGTCCATGCAAAGACTCTTTATCTTGCATACGAGGGAGCTGGGCAAGAGCTGGGATCCAGCCGCGTCCTCTCGAATCTCGCCGTGACCGCCAGTCCTGGGCCCTGGAGGGTACCATATTGGCCTCCCGGCTGAACTATTGTTTAAGCCCATGTGCTTGTATGGTGGTTAATGCTGCATCCATAGGCAATGCGTGTGCTGCAAGCTGTGACAACTTAACCTGAGTCTGGATGGGTGTGTGTGTGTGGAGGGTTAAGCTTGGGTTTTTTTGTGTGTTAAATACTGTATACGAATGGGCTGGCTGTTTGAGCAGATGCCGTAACCGGCTGTACCACAGTGACGAGCGAAGCCGCACTACTCCACAGCGTTGGTGCGATTCGTCTCGCTCGGTTCTTCTTCCACCACGCGTTTGTCCCACTCATGCGGGGATGTTCCGCTCTCCTTGCCAACCTTCTCCACGCTGCCTGGCCCTGCACCATCTCTCTCTCCGCTCCTCGGGCAACCATTTCCCGGTCGCAACCAAATCGCCCCCACTACCACCACCACCTCCTCTTCTGCCTTCATATTGATCTCTTTCCATCCCACTCGCATCGCTTGCCACCTTCTGACCCACACAATGTTCCTCCTGTCACTCCAACACGACCGAAGCACGCCCACAGCCTTTTTTCTCTCGCGGTTATTATTCACTAAACTTCGGAGGAGGGTTGGCCCCACTTTCGCCGAGGAGACGACATCAGTGCGAGAGGGGTCGCCACGTATTTCAGAGCAGCACGGTGATGCTGCTGATGATGTGGGGAGAGTTCACGTGCTGTGTATTGTCGGTGGTCCCGCACTAAAGGTCAGTGGCCCGCGGGCCTTGCAGTGAAACAACACTGGACCAGCCGAATGGAATGGCAAGTAGTGGGTAAACCGTGTTTGTATAACTTGACACGGTCCGGGTTTAAAGTTTGTGTGGGCCATGTGATGGATAACAGCCGCGGCAGTAGCGCGACTGCTGACAACTGTCCGGTCTGCCCCGAGATGCGGGCGGAGTGGGACGCTCACCGAGATGTTAACTACCTCGCCTGGTATCCACGAGGTCGTGGGTTCGATCCCGACGCCTGCTGTATATTTCGAGTTTGCGTGTTCTCTCTCTCGCACTCGCCCTCTACCCCTGCGTGGATTTATCCCCTGCTGTAAATTTCCACGTGATAAGCCACTCAAGTTGAGCTGTGATTCGTGATCGCCAGGTCGCTTAAAAAGAAACAAGAGCGGTATAGATCATTGGGGGGGGGGGGGGCGGACTTTTCTGGTAAAATAAAAAAATATATAGTTTGAGTTTGTGACGGGTCGGGCCTGGTGGTGTCAGGGTCACGGGGAGGTCCGTGCCCCCTCGGATTATTCCCCCCACACATTTGGTTTAATGTCGCGGCATCCCCACCGGAGGTGGTTTGCTGCTGGCTGGCTCATTGGTGTTGGCCAGAACGGGCAGAGCCGCGGCAGACAGGAGTGACGATTATATGAATCGGCCGTGGGCCTCCCCTAGGTCGACTCAGCCTCAAAGGAGTACCTGGTGCGGTGTGTAGGGAGATAAAGGCGGTCTGGCGTGGTGCTGGCCACCCACCCACCTCGTGTGCCGTGCCGGCCTTCATAGGTGCTCGCTAACAGCACTTGCCGCAAGTCTGTGAAGGCTACACGGGGGATGTCTTTTTTTTGGGGGGGGGGGGTCTTTAATACCCTGCTAAAATCTCCCCGACTGTGTCGTGTCATCTCCTGGTGCGACCAAAGCTAAAATAAACTCCTTTAAAACTTTTTTTAAAACGATTTTATTAACAACTTCGTTTAACTCGCGGTCTGAGAGGTACGTCCGTGGCGCCTGCGTTTTGTGGGAGCCGATTGCACAGTTTAGGGACCGCGGCGGCGTGTTTGACCTCCACAAATATATAAGTAATAAGGCGCCCATACAAAATGTAAATTGCTTTAAAGTAGCGAATTCATTTATTAAATTATGCCAATTTTGAAAGATGGCATGCGTTGTCACCGGATCTGAAGTACGTGTGCAAAATGTGGAATTGATTGGACAACGAGAAGCGGACGAAATTTTGATTACACGATTCGACCAGGACAAACACGAGCGGAATCAAGTTAAGTAAAACCGTTGGAAAAAAAGAAAATCCTCGACCTTTGCTTGTTGTCACCTGGCTGACCGGTGCTGTTGCTGCCCCCATGTCCCTGAAACGCCGTCGTACTCGACCGTGGGTGGGGGAGATGTCGCGCTCGGGATGCTGGAAACGTGGGCCCGCCGTCACAACGTTTGGGGGTGACATTCGTACTGCTCTTGAAAATACCCGCGGACCGAGCCTCTGCGCAGTGGCGGAATGAACTTTTTATTCAGAAACAAAGTTCCAAGAATTTCCATTTAAAGCTTTCGTGACTGCAGGGATTCATCTTCTTGGTTTCTTTCGGTAAAGTCACGTAGAAGGGAAAGAATAAAAATAAAACAATGTTTTATTTATAAATAATAATAAAAAATAAGACATGTTATATTTTTCATTATTTCGCTTCTACGTGACTTTACCGAAAGAACCAAGAAAAAGCTCAATAAATGTGGGCAGTTTTTGCAAAGAACGACATAGGCTACCGTGTCGGGTGGTTTCTGTTTTTAAAAATAGCCACTAATTACCCAAACACCCACCCCTCCCCCCCCAATCACTGGCATTGATGTATAGTGCCTTTTGAGGTGCTATGAAAGGTACTGTACATAATCTTGGTTCTTTCACGTAAGAAGGGAAATAATAAAAATTAAACAATGAAATTCTCACGACGTTAAGATTTCATTTTTATTATTTCCCTTCTTACGTGACTTTACCGAAAGAACCAAGAATATGAATTCCTGCAGTCACGAAAGTTTTGAATAGAAATTTGCTGTACATAAGTTGAAATTCAAAAAATTTTTGGGTGAAAAATATCTTGAAATTCTATACTTCTTGATTATCTAGCAAACTAAGCCTAAACGCAATGGTGGAATCGACTCCTTTAAATAAAGGAGAGAAAAAAACATTCTAAAAAGATTGGGCCGTTTTTGGGCAAAACCTTAACGGGTTAGCGTTGTTGGGGTTATTTTTTGGTGAAAATAATCGATACTTGAATTTGGAGCTTTCGTGACTGCAGGAATTATTCTTTGGTTTTTCGGTAAAGTCACGTAGAAATAAGACATAATAAAATTACATAAGTGTACGACGTCTCGATTGCAACACAAGCAATCATCATCAGGTACAGAAGAGCTAAATTTACGAGAGAGGAGACACATAACCCCAGATATATATACAGACCCAGATATAACAGGGGATGCAGAGAGAGAAAGATAAACGTGGGAGCACACTAAATCAAACAGGGTTTAGCAAAATTTGGAAACCATATAACGCAACACAGACGGTCGGTCAAAACACAATGCAAATAACGTAATCAACCAGACCTTGCATTGTGTTTTGACCGACCGTCTGTGTTGCATTATATGGTTTCCAAATTTTGCTAAACCCTGTTTGATTTAGTGTGCTCACACGTTTATCTTTCTCTCTCTGCATCCCCTGTTATATCTGGGTCTGTATATATATCTGCGGTTATGTGTCTCCTCTCTCTCGTAAATTTAGCTCTTCTGTACCTGATGATGATTGCTTGTGTTGCAATCGAAACGTCGTACACTATTATGTAATTTTATTATTTCTTATTTCTACGTGACTTTACCGAAAAAAACAAAGAAAAATAATCGATGTAAAAATTCTTATGTTTTATATAATGCTCAACAAAATTGGCCATTTTTTTGGCAAACAACCTCTTAACAAATTTTGATTTAAAGCTTTCGTGACTGCAGTAATTCATATTGTTAGCTCTTTCGGTAAAGTCACGTTGAAGGGAAACAATAAAATAACAAATATATAAAACAATAAAAAAAATTATCACGACGTTTCGACCATAACACGTGACTTTACCGAAAGAGCTAAGATTATAACCTCTTAACAAGTCGTCTTTTTTATTTGAGGGGGCGAAAACATTGATTGCTAAAAATTAAAATCCCAAGTTGTTAAAAGAGCGAGCACGTTCTTCTACGTGTTTTTTTTCCCCTTCACGTTATGCATTAGTGTGTCGCTGGAATCGTGGTGCTGGTGTGCCCCCACGGATTAAGAACCGCTGCTTTCCCGATTCGGAGCGATTTAACCATTCAATTGCTTTCGTCAGAGCGTTGGTGGCATTGCAGGCTACAAACCACGCCACCTTGATGTTTACATGTCAGGCAGCACAAAAGTTACACGGTCCATTCCGTTATCGTTGCCATGTTTCGAACAGCCGACATAGGGAAGACGACACGGGGAGTGGGTGGCTGATTGCAAAACACGTTTAATCAGTAGTTTCTTAAGGCAGTAAGGTGGCCACACAATGTTAACTGCACAGCAGCGCAAAACAGGACTTCTAGAACTTTAGTTCTTCAGTATATATATTTATCTGTGAATTGGTTTCAGGGGTAGGGAAAGAAAATTATATTTTCTATACAGTCTAGAACTTACGTTAAATAAAAAAAATCGCATCGTTAATTTTGCCTCTGTAACCAGAGGCTGAAAGACAGACTGCCAAAAACAGTACAAAGCGAGAATCCTCATCATCGTCACGCATCTTTTTGTTACTTTTGAATTTTTTTTTTACAAAATAAAAACCAAAAAAATGGCTTGCGCTAAATACAGGCCGAGTACCACGTGACAGCTAAAACTAAACAAGTACCGTCGTTTTGTTGGCAAGAGGTCCCATGGGGTGACATGGGGGGGGGGGATAAGGTGGGGGTGTGTGTGCAAGGTCGAGGATCGGGCACCCGAGCCACCTTTGCAGTCCGTATTCTAAGTCACGGCCTGGCTCAGGCTCGGCTCTGGCTCAAATGAGTCGGCTTAAAAGCGCTCAACTCGAGCCGAGCCACGGCTGTGAGCTGCTCGTGGTGCCCGTCTTTGGGAACGGCCGAGCGACCCAAGCCTGAGCTGGGCCGCCATAAAGAATGCGACCCCGAGGACTTGTCAGGACGGGAGCAAAGCAGCGATCTTCATGTCTGCTCGCCATCCATTGTCAATCCTGGAATATATACACTATGCTGGAGTATACCACCAGTCTTATTCGAGGGATTGCCAAGAGGGGGTGGTTGATGGGGGCGGCGGGGGGAGAGGTGGAGGGGGGGGCGCTCGCACGGGAGGTCAGGTCCAGTGTTGACGATGAGCGACTTTTAAGGCGTAAAGTGCCAGAGTGCAGCGGGGGGGGGGGGGGGGGGGCGGGCGAAGGTACCTCTCTCTCTCGCCCCACTATGGCCTGGCCGTACCTTCGTGTGAGGCATGATACCGTACCGCTAACATCGACGCGCAATTCCGATTTTTAAACGTAAAAAAAAAACACGGTGAAATGGCGTAGTCGTAATCGGGGTGTACCATCATCGCTGAAGGCACGATTTGTTTTCGTTTTTCCTCTTAAGTGATTCCGTTGTGTCCACTCGGCCCATCGCCTCCTCTCGGGTCGAAACAAATGAGTACCTCAGTGTAAAGTGGACGGTGGTGCGAGTCCCATCCTCCTTCGGATGGACTTTGCCCACCCGTCTTAGGAATGTGGAGTTTACTCCACCGGCTCAAGGCCTGCCCATGGAGACGAGCGCCGACTTGCGCTCTCGCTCGAGCGTGGAAATGCTTTTCGACTTCACAAGGCGATGGGATTTTTTTGAAGGCGGCCGTGTGGATTGGCTGACGCACACAGCTGGCTGCTACCTCCTCAGGGGGTAGGTTCACTCTGGATGACTTCACACACAAGCAACGCATTGATACAAAATAAATTCCGCTGGTAGATAACACTGCCCTAAAAATGAAAAACTATGAACGGAAACGTTTCGGGCAATGGCCCTCCTTCGTTGTGACTTTACACGGCACCCCCCTCCCGCCATCACTTCAAGCTTCTCTGAAGCGACGGTGAGGGTTGGTTAAACGTTAAGAGAACCAGCAGCCAATCAGGGTCTGGGCGGTACAAGGTGGGGGGGGGGGGGGGCGGGAGGGTGTGGGTTCTAATAATTTTGTCGAACATTCACGGCGTGACTCGCCACGCGATACAAACGTCAAGCTCGAACGCGCCAGCGCGAGCACTCTGCCGCGTGACAACGCGAGACTCGACGTACGTGTAAACGCCAAGTCTGAAATACATTCTTTCTGGGACGGGCGGTGACGGAGAGGCAGCAGCTCTTGGTGGTGGTGGTGGGGGGGGGTGGGGGGCGGTTCACGACTCCGAACCTGGAGAGTTTTTGGGGGGGGCTGTGGGGATCGAGCGCTTGAGGTCGCGGAAGTGCGTGGCGGAGGCTAAGGCCGTGGGCGAGCACGTGCGCCCGATGCGGTCGCCAACTCCCGGCTCCCTTTTCCTGGAACGTTCCTTTTAAAGCTCTTTTACGCCTCGTGACACGGTGGGGGATGGGGTGTCACTCGGTCATGGCTTGGATAGGTTTTTACAAAAGGAGGTGGTATTGGGGGTGAAACAAAAATATTTGCACATCATTCGTGCGATTGAATGCACAAAGGTTTTAGTCTCCACCCAAGCGTAGCGAGGGTGCCCCACACACGCCCGCTGGCATCGCCGACAATCGCTCGTCGTGTCAAAAAGGAGCGGGCGGAGTGCGTGAGAACGAGGTCTCGAGTCTCCATAACGGCGGGACTCGATCCGCCGCCGTCGTTGGGGGTCGCATCCGGGTTAAGGGAGGGGGGGGGGAGGGAGCTGTCGCTGGGCCACCCCAGAGTCTCCGCTCGCTCCCTTTGGTCGTGCTTGGGCGCTTACGTACGCGCGCGAGAAAGTCGATGCTGTGAGCAATCCGGGTGTCACGCACGGAGGAGGGTAGCGTTACTGTGTGGGTCTCGCCGGCTTGCCACGGTCCTCGAACACCATCTCCTCGTACACCTGCAGGATCGCCTCGCACACAAACCTGTACTGGCACTGTGGGGAGAGGGGGTGGTGGCAGGTGGAACAGAACACACACGCAGCAGCTTGAGTATTAATAGCCTTAGACGAGCCACTTAGTCATGTTCGGGATTGCATGTGGACCTAGCCTGGCACGAGCGCAGTCGTGACGTCACCGCCACGTCGTGGCGAATGGCGGCTGTTGAACGCGTGTAAATGTGTGCATAATGGGGAGCGGTGGCATAGTGGTTAGCGTGCCGCACTATGAACACGGCGACCCGAATTCGATTCCCTCTGGTGGCCAATACCAGCGACGATTATCTGAACTGGTCTTGGGCCTCCCCAAGGTAAACTCGGCCTCAAATGTGTACCTGGTGCGGTGTGCAAACATTACACTAGGGATGACAAAGGATGACAAAGGGCGTGGTGCTGGCCACCCATCCCCTCGTTTCCCCGCCAGCCTTCATAGGTGCTCGCTAACTGCACTTGCCCAAAAAGTCTGTTGTGGCTCTACGAGGGATCTTCGTCTTTGTGTTTGTGTGAGTGTTTGTTTTCCAAATATCAGTGTGTGAGTACGTGTCTGCATGTGCAAGTGTACTGGAATGAAGGTGTGCGTGTGTGCTCGTAGCTCACGGATGTCTGTATCATCATCGCGCGCTGGTCCCTCATCGTCTTGACGATGTCGAGGGGGTACACGGGCTTGTAGCACTCCATCAGGCACTGCGCCGTCTCCATGGTGACGAGCACGCCCGTCCGCCCGATGCCCGCACTGCGGACAGTCGTGTGACGTCACGACGGTCAGGGTCAAGAGTTCACCGTGACCAATGCCGTAAGTCGCATTTTCCAGGAACGTAACCCCGACTTAAATTGATCATACCCAGTAATGTATATGTGCAGGGTGGCCCAAAAGTGTGGAATCGTAGGGAAAAATAACTAATTAATGTTTTTGTTTCTGCAGGCCCAAGATGTCCATATAATTATACTCGGAGGTAATCGGAGTCGGAGGTCGCTGTTGAATTTAACAGACTGCATCCAGATCCCCGAGCCAATAACACAGAGCTGTGTCTTTCCCTACGGTTCCAGACTTACGGGACTCGCTGTAGAGAGAGGGGAGGGAGAAAGGCACGGATCGGCGCGTGGGGTGCGTGTTGACGTCGCCCGCGTTTCGAGGGCGACGCGGAGGCGCGTGTACCTGCAGTGCACGACGACGGGCTGCGGTGGCTGCGCCGTGCGCTTTTCCCGCACGCTCTTCACGAACTGCAGGAACTGGTGGGGGTCGTCCGGGACACCGTGGTCCGGCCATGCCACGTACTGCAGGTGACTCACCAGCCGCTCCTCTTCCTCCTCCGAGGCAGCAGCAGCAATAGCTGCTGCTGCTGCTGCGTCCACACAGTCCTCGGGCTCAACCTCCTCACTCTCCTCTTTCTCCACCTCCTTGGCTTCCGCCTTCTCTGCCTCCTCCTGCTTCTTCGGCGGCTCCTTGTCGTCGTTGTCTTCTTCTTCTTCAACCGCCGATTCTTTGCCGTCCTCCTTCCTCTCCTCTTCGATCCGTTCTTCCGCCACTTCGTCTGCTCTGCTCGCCGGTTTTGCCACCTGCAAAACGCAAAAGTGACGCTTGCTTGGTTGTTCTCGCGCGCGGCGCCCAGTGCTAGAATAATCCGTGGCGACGAGAATAGTACAAGACCCTTACCGTGGGCATGCCCTAACCCACCCCCCCCCCCCCTGCTCGTGTGCCCATCTCCCCAATCATCAATCACTGCAACCCTCCTGTACCCACCACCCGCTCGCCGCAATCCTACCCAACAGCACGCCTACTCATCCGCCAGCTTGTCTGCTCGCCTGCTCAATCGCCCCCCCATCCTCCCATCTGACCACTCATCCACCCCCTTAAATACCCACCTGAACACCTATCCACTTGTCCGCCCACCTGCCGGTGTGGTCGCTCACCTTCTTGGTGAGCGTGAACTCCCGGAAGACGCACGCAAGGTTGCAGTCCTCCTTGACGCAAGTCACCACAAAGTCTCCGTGCGTCTCCGTGCCAGGCGGGTTGGGCCAGTACTGGTGACATTTCACCTGGGGGGGGCGGGGGCACGATGAGATTCGCATTCGCACCACGGGCACGTTCACCTCAACTTGCCCCTCGCTCAAATCGGCGCCGCCTTTTATTTAACCGCAAGGTGACCTCGTGAGATTCCTCGTCTCGAGCTGTTATGGAGGTTACGGAAAACTGTGCCCATTGACGATGTTGCTCGGATGGTGATGAATGGTCACCGTGGCTATGAATAGTCTCGTGGTGACTGATGAGTGTTGGTTGGATGCCGACGGTTGGGTCGTGATAATAATCATTTAGAACACCTAGAATTTGACCTTTAAACGTCCGCTGCGAAGTAGACGGGGCGAATTTGTGCGGCTAAAATAACCAGAGGGGGGGCGGCTTTCCGGATGAGAACCACGAACCTCTGCGACAAGCGGCAAATGCGCTACCACGAGGCCGCTTTGCCGCCGGGTGGTGATTCAAGCGAAGTTGTTGGTTGAGCGGTAGCGGGAGTAGCAAAGCCTGGTGGTGGCGATGATGACGACGGTGGTGTTGGATTGGGTACCGTCAGCGGTCATGTTGGTCAAGGCAGCGTTGCCGGTGGTGGTGGTGGTGGTGTTGGCACCTTACCCGGCCGCGCTCCGTGATGGTGGTGAGCATCACGATTATGGTGCTGCCCTGCTCCCACACCATCTGCCAGAAGTCGGCCGACGTGGCGGGCAGGGGCCCCTGGCACGCGATGTAGCGATTCACCCGGTCGGCCAGCTCCATCTGCCACGAGGAAGCCACCACCCAGAGAGCACCACCGCCTCAACCTCGTCAGCAAGGACCTTCAGTTTTTGTTTTTACCGTCTGTCTTTTCCCCCCAGATTTTATCGCTCCCCGTATCTCTGTGGAGACAATGATTTATAGTTTGTATGTCTGTGCAGTAGAACTTCTCTCAACGACGGTAATAGCTTCCACGCAACCGGTCGTGAAGCGAGTACAGGGTATACGTTGCAGGCTTAGTTCGTTCCGATAGCATAGAAAGTTACCCTTTTTCACCCAAAAAACTTACTTTATTATATTTAAACAATTTATATCAATTTATAAATATACTAACAAATTATATGCACGTAACATTAAAAGAAACATGGTTAATGGATGCATTAATTAACATTTACTTTGCCTACAACAGCCCGTTGTTAACAGGGGAATGGTCAGCTCTGAGCTCCAGAGGAACGACACTACTATACACGACACTACATTATACACTACGCTACGTTATACACTACGCTACGTTATACACTACGCTACGTTATACACTACTATACACTACACTACTATACACTACACAGTGGGCTCTATAGAGGCACGATACTATACACTACACTACATTATACACTACACTACTATACACTGCACTACTATACACTACACTACTATACACTACACTACTATACACTACACTACGTTATACACTACTATACACTACACTACATTATACACTACACTACGTTATACACTACACTACGTTATACACTATACACTACACTACTATACACTACCCTACATTATACACTACACTATACACTGGGCTCTATAGAGGCACGACACTATACACTACATTATACACGACACTACTATACACTACACACTACATTATACACTACACTACATTATACACTACTATACACTACACTACATTATACACTACACTATACATTGGGCTCTATAGAGGCACGACACTATACACTACATTATACACGACGCTACTATACACTACACACTACATTATACACTACACTACATTATACACGACGCTACTATACACTACACAGTGGGCTCTATAGAGGCACGACACTACATTATACACTACTATACACTACATTATACACTACACTACATTATACACTACACTATACAGTGGACTCTAGAGGCACGACACTATACACTACACTACTATACACTACACTACGTTATACACTACACTACATTATACACGACGCTACTATACACTACACTATACACTACACAGTGGGCTCTATAGAGGCACGACACTATACACTACATTATACACTACACAGTGGGCTCTATAGAGGCATGACACTACATTATACACTACTATACACTACACTACTATACACTACTATACACTATATTACATTATACACGACACTACTATACACTACACTATACACTACACTACATTATACACTACACAGTGGGCTCTATAGAGGCACGACACTACTATACACTACACTACATTATACACGACACTACTACTACAATACATTATACACAACACTATTATACACTACACATTGGGCTCTATAGAGGCCCGTCCTTAAGCGATTAGTTGTTAACAGGGGTGGTCGTCAAGAGGGGTTCTACTGTACCTTGAACTTCTTTTGCACCGTACGTAGCCCACTGTACGAACCGGAGGTGCGGGGCAAGGACAACAAACTAAACACAAAGAGCAGTTCTAAAGAAATGTTGTTTTACGCACTTGGACCTCTGTGTAAGAAGAGAGGGTCCACACCCCACCTATAAACACGTGCCAGTTTTACCACACCTTTCGGCTCCAGTTGCGAGCGGCAAAGGGGAGGGGTGAACTCACGTTGATGTGGTTGGCGTTGATGTAATCGTCCTCCCCGCACAGCAACACCCTGGTGTCATCATCTGCAAGAACGAAGTGCGGAGAGACGTGAGCACAGCACTCCCCCCCGCGATCGGGCAGCTGTAGTGTGTGGGGGGGTGTTGGGGGGGGGGGGGTGTTGAGGGGGGGTGGAGGATGTGGGGAGCGGTAGTGTAGTGGTTAGTGCGCCGCGCTACGAACCTGGCAACCCGAGTTCGATTCCCGCTCACGGCCAACACCAGTGACGGTTTATCTGAACCGGTCCTGGGCCTCCCCTAGGTCGACTCAGTCTCAAAATGAGTACCTGGTGCAGTGTGTAAACATCGCAACTGGGGAGACAAAGGCGGCCGGGCGTGGTGCTGGCCACCCACCCACTCGTGTGCCGTTCAGGCCTTCATAGGTGTTGCTCGCTAACAGCACTTGCCCCTACAGTCTGTTAAGGCTACACGGGGTAACTTTGTAGGGTCGGGTGTGCCTCGGGTGTGGCTGTGTGTAGGGGGGAAGACAGAGAGACCAGCAGCAACGCACGCTTGCACATTTGTTGTGTTACGATTTATTCGCTGCTCGAACTTTAGTTTTTTTTTTTCACCAAGGTCCCCCTGCGGGTCTCTCTTGGAAAACAGCTCACGGCAGCCAAAGTGATCCTTAACCCCATCAACGAACAAAGACGACAACTCACACGGTGAGATGTCGCGGTAGCGATTCTTGCCGGCATTCTGGGGTAACCGGGCGCATGACATGCTCATGCCGGGCTTTTTCCTGTACAGGTCCTGCGAGAGAGAGGAGAGAGAGCGCAGCGGGCCCGGGGAGTGAGCGGCGGCGTGTGTTAGGGCGAAGACCGCACAGCTTACCCACGAATGGCTGTGTACGCACTGGAAGATGGACAGTGAATTAATCAACGTGAACGCATTGATCAGAAATATCTATGAATAATAATTTCACGAATTAATTAACAGGATAATGAACACCAGTAAATTGATCGCGAATTAATGAGCAAACACGTGAATTAAGCGTTAATTCATAAATGTTTGCTAATAACTAAATTAGCAAAATATTTCCAATTGAATGAATAATCAAACAAATGCACCCACTCCCTCGTGTGCCGTACCGGTCTTCGCAGGTGCTACTCGCTAACAGCACTTGCCCCCACAGTCTGCTAAGGCTACACAGGGGAGGGATCTTTGTCTTTGTGTGTGCGCGTGTGTAGGCCACCTCGAACTGCTCGACGGCGATGCCTGCCTCCAGGTCGCGCTCCAGCTGCTCCATGGAGAGGCGCAGCGCGTCCTGGCCGCCCTCGCTGCTGCCCTCGTGCGGTTCCGCTGGCTCCAGCGCCGTGTACTGGAAGTCGGGCTCGCTGTCCACCTCGTCGTCGTCCTCTTCCTCCTCCGCGCCGTACACGGCTGCCACGAGCAGGAGGATGGGGAGCACAGAAAGGGAACTATTAAAAAAAATGTTTTAAAAAAAAATTTTATTCGGTGTAAGGCTCACCGGAGCTGCTGCATAGCTCTTTTTTTCAAAAGCGACCTGGCCAGCACAAATGATTGCTCAATAAAGTGGCCGATCACGTGGAAATATATAGCAGACAAATACTCTTAAACCCACGTTTAAGAGTATTTAAACACGCAAACTGCAAATATACTGGTGTCAGGGTTGGGATCGAACCCACGACCCTCCTCCTGTATACCGGGTGAGGTAGTTAACATTTCGCCTTCGCGCTGCCCTGAATACAGTGGAGCCCCATCCCATCAACTTCACCTTCCCTCCTGCGCATTTAGCGGTTCCGTTATCGGCATGGTCGTTTTTCATCGATTTGCCCACAATGTCCCGCGAATTTTATCCAAAATGCTGTGGGTGTCTTTCTTAACCCCTCCCCGTCTACAACACGCGCTAGGAACGCCCGGACACGTGCGCCTCTTCGGTAAGCGACGCGAGATTCGTATCCATTTTCCCTGTAAGTTCTCATCGTCGTCGTCGTTAAAACCCCCCCCACCCCACCGAACGCCTCTCTCACCGTTGGGCCTCACGAGCAGCAGCAGCTCGCCGTGGCCGCCCTGGCAGCTGGAGCGGATGAACTGCACCACCTCCTCGTGGCTGCACCGGGAGATGTCGCGGTCGTTCACCCGCACCAGCTGGTCGCCCTCGTTCAGCCGCGGCACGCACATGTCCGCCTGGCGCCGGCAGCGGGCGTCGTTAGTTCACCCGCGTGGCCGGTCGCCCCCTTTATAGATCTTCTATGGCTACTCGCTCACCACGCTTGCAGATCGCAGCACGCTGACCTACCCACCCACCCACCCAATCACCACACTGCAGATCACAACACTTCTCTTTCTGCACGGCTTGGAACGCCTTCCCAAGTTCTCATCGACGCGATAAATTCTTAACAGCTTTAAATATTTCGCCGTCAATTTTTTTTTTCCTATTCTTTTGGATATGCTGGGGCCTCTACTCGGCAGCCGTGAAAACAGCACCACCACCACCACCAACCATTGGGAATTTGTAAACCCTGTCCCCGTGTGCTTGGGAGTAAACCTACAAAATGTGGTCTCGGTTATGTCCTGCGTATGACGTAAAACCGCCAACTGGCGACGTCATTTCCTTCACTCACCGGCGTGCCCGGGGCCACGCGCGAGACGATAATGGGCATCTTGTGGTCGGACCCTCCCTGCCACAGACACGGCCGTCACACACGCGGCACGGGTCAGCGGCACAGCAGCGGCATCTGGTTCTATTTGACAAACTATAAGCCATTTTTGTTTTACCAGATAAGGCCCACTGAGCTATGTAGCTCTTTTTCAGAAGCGACCTGGCCACACATGGATAGCTGAACAATGTGGCTTATCTTCGTGTGTATATTTATGTCAACCAAATACTCTAAAACGTATGTTTATTCTAAATGCAGAGGGAAAACCCGGAGGACCCGGAGAGAAATGCACGCGACCACGGCAAGAGAGACACACTAACTCCAAATATACAACATGCATCAGGGTCGGGATCAAACCCACGACCTCCTGCATACCAGGCGAGGTAGTTAACATCTCCTAGCCACCGTGATGATGATGAGAGAGAGACACACAAACTCCAAATATACAACAGGCATCAGGGTCGGGATTGAACCCACGACCTCCTGCATACCAGGCGAGGTAGTTAACATCTCGCCACCACCGCGGCACCCTCTCTCTCTCGGTGCCCACCCGCGTGTCGCAGTGAGATGCACAGACGCGAAAAGGGCTTGCGCCCGTTCGTGTCAGATCTCAGAAGCTAAGCAGGGACTGGGCCTGCATGGTGCTAGGATGGGAGGCGACCGACACAGACGAACACAGGCTGCCGTATGGCTGCAGAGGGCAGCGTAGCAAAAATCCATTGTTGTACTGCGCTTTGATGCTTCCACAACTACGCTCGCCGCCTTCACCAACCCGCACTGACCAGCGTGGATTCAACGACAACCACGAATGACACTTCGCGGGGCAGCCCTAATCCAGCAGTGGACTGGCGCAAGGAGCGCCCGCCGATTGTTATTTGCGCAAGATCAGACGCCGGTACCTTCACGTTGAAGCCGAACTTGCAGTTGTCGTCCTGCTTGATCCGTATGAGCACCAGGTTTTCGTAAGGATCAGCACCGTTGAGCTGTGAAAGGAACGCAAACCGACGTCAAACTCACAGTGACCGCACCGCCGAGACGGAGGACATTCCAGTAACGCAGCCGCCGCCGACGACGAATTCAAGCGCCAGCGCGGAAGACCCGGAGAGGCAGGTCTATAGAGAGAGAGAGAGACGATGTCGCAATAGGTGAACCAGGATAGCAAGACACATTTGTCCACAACACTGTGGCCTTAAAATTAAAGAAGTGACGTTTAGGACCACGGCTCTTCTTCGTCGAGCGTACGATCACGATGCCAAGGACTGCTCGAGTGGACGTGGGGACGCTGGGCCCAGGAGAGGCATGAGCGGAGTAGAGGAATCGTTGCCGCTGCTGTTTAAGACGCCCTGCCATTTAAGTTGAACTGCTCCGTTCTGTTGCGTCCGCCGGCAGCATGAATGTGTTCCAGGAACTAGATGCTAACATCGAGGTCTGCAGGCCGAGGCGCTCTTCCTTCCGATGTTAGGAAGCCATTGGGAGCTGTGCACTTTAAAGTCGTCGTCGAGATTGACAAACTCGGTTATTTAAAACTGCTCTTTGTGTTTAGCTTGTTGTACCTTCCCCCGCACCTCCGATTAGCACGGCTACGTTACGGTGCGAAAGAAGCTCATACATACAAGACGAGAAGGATTCAGGAGAGACAGAGTTCGTGTAGCTTTGCTATATCTCCTCTGTTGAAGGAGCGTAGTTAACTGTGGTTTAAGATACGGTCCATCGTGTGGGTCACATGGCCCACCATCATTTTCGTGACGTGAACTGATTTGGGAACATTGGGATGCAAATTAACGCCGATTGTACACAAGCTCAGCCTACACTGGCAGCAACAGTAGCGGCAGGCATCTCCCATGCAACAGCAGCAGCAGCAGCAACAACAGCGGGCATCTCTCATGCAGGTAATCGCGAGTGTCGCACACCTGTCCAGAGCCGGTGCTGGTGAGATCTGTGATGTCGTAGGATCGGCTGGAGGGGGAGTTGAGCAGGCCCTCGTGCGAGTTGGCGCGGCTTGGCGTGCGGCACAAGCTCCCGTTACGCACCTTGGACGTCTGCCCCGGCGCTCGGAACTCGGCCACGGAAAACCTCTGCAGGCTGTTTGAGCGAGCGTGTGTGTGTGTGTTTGGCAGAGATGGAGACATTATCTTATATTTAGATTTTAAAGCTTTCGTGACTGCAGGGATTCATATTCTTGGTTCTTTATTATTTCCCTTCTACGTGACTTTACCGAAAGAACCAAGAATATACATTATCTCCTGTTCACCGAGTATGAAAATACAGGAGGAATGCAAACTGCATGATAAATTATATTTTTTCACGTGCGAATTCAGTGTGAGAGTTTTGTGCAAGCAAGTGCGTGCGTATGCCTGTGCATGCAGGTGGGGAGCAGTAGTGGAGCGGTTAGCGAGCTACGCTGAGAACCCGGAGATCCGAGTTCGATTCCTGTTCACGGCCACCAACACCGGTGACGATTATCTGAACCGGTGCTGGGCCTGCCTAGGTCGACTCAGCCTCAAATGAGTACAGTGGTACCTCGGAGACCGAACGCCCCAGAACTCGAACAATTCCGTGATCGAACAAAATTTTCGACCATTTTTTGCCCCGGACATCGAACAAAAATTCGGTTTGGGCCGAGACGCGTAACCAGGGCGACCGAGCCAAAAGCAAATGACCCAGTTTACGCGTAGCTCTCGTCCTTTTATCACTGTAGTAAAGTTCCTGCCCCCCCCAATACGACTCCTCTCATCCAGCCCATGGACCAACAGGTAATTTACAACTTAAAAAAACTCTACACGAAAGCCCTTTTTCAAAGGTGGCAAAATGGGCTGAGTTATGCAATTTTGTAGAAAAATATCCAGATAAGGCAGTAGCCAGCAGTGGCAGGCGATTTTTATAATGATAATGCATTGAGTAATTTCAGAAACATCTTAAAACGGAGGCAGAAACACTCCTCTCTAGATCAGTTTTTAGTAAAAAGGCCCTCAAGTGAATCACAGTGCTAGAAAAAAGGCAAAGAAAACCTCAGAAGGGCAGTTACCCAACGTGTTTATGGAGGGGGACTCCCCTTCCAAGCAACACTGACACCTCCCCTCCTCACCACCTTCCACTCTCCTTACTACAGGCAAAGTGAAGTTCAATGTTTATTTATTCTATTAATTATAACTTGTTTTTGTATGCTTTTATGTACTGTACTGTAATTTAATATTGTAAACTTGGTGTAAAAATGGCCCATAACAGGAGCATCCTTGGGTGGGGAACCAATTAATGCTATTTCCATTCATTCTTATGGGGAAAATTGATTCGGTGTTCGAACAATTCGGTGTTTGAACACGGTTTTGGAACGAATTAAGTTGGATCTCCGAGGTACCACCGTACCTGGTGCGGTGTGTAAACATCGCTACTTGGGAGACAAAGTCGGCCAGGCGTGGTGCTGGGACAATGTACTTATGCAATTTGAACTTAATATATATTCTGCTTCCCTTTCCAATATACTTTGCACTTCCTATCGCTTTTTGTATTGTTGTAACTTTTCGACCTGCCCCCTACTGGACATCTGTTAAAATAGCTTCACAGCTCAACGGATTTCTCCAGGGCATCGTGGTGGCGAGATGTTAACTACCTTCGCTGATCTACAGGAGGTCGTGGGCTCGATCTCAACCCTGAATCCTGTATACTCTCGTGCAGCAGCAGCAGTAGCAACAGCAGCAGCAGTAGTAGCAGCAGCAACAGCAACAGTAGTGGCAGCAGCAGCAGCGTGTTCTCTCTCTCTCTCCCGCCGTGGTCGCGTGGATTTTGCTCCGGGTCCTCCGCTTTTTCCCTCCACATTTAGAATCAACATCACGCGCTTATGAGTATTTTGGCTGCTATAAATGTCCACCTGACGATAAGCCGCTTCGTTGAGCTACCATTTGCGATGGCCAGGTCGCTTCTGAGCTATATCCTAGTGGGCCTTCTTACCTGGTAACAACAAACGCTTACCTTAAACTTTCTTTTTACCGCGTGACCTTGGGGCCGGCACATCGCGATCATCGTAAACCCACCCCACCCCGGTTCGTCGTCGCGGCCAGCACCGACCTGAGCGACTGGCGCGAGTCGAGGCGCGTGACGGAGGCCGCGCGGAGGGGCCGCAGGGTCACCCCGCCCACCACGCGGCGGCTGAGGTCGCCCAGCGAGTTGGCGGTGCGCAGGCTGCGCTGGAACGAACCCGACGGCCTGCCAGGAGCAAACAGCGCCGATGCAAATGCACGCACGACAAAGACAAATACCTCTTCCCATCCGCCCCCCCCCGCACCCCCGCCCGTGTAGCCTTACGAGACTGTTTGGGGCAAGTTCTTTTAGCGAGCACCTATGAAGGCCAGACCGGCACACGAGGGTGTCGCGATGTTTACACACCACACCAGGCACTCATTTAAGGCCGGGTCCACCCAGGGGAGGCCGAGGACCACTTCAGATAATCGTCACCGGCGTTGGCCGTGAGCCGGAATCGAACCTTGGTCGCCGGTTTCGTAGCGCAGCGCGCTACCCGCTACACTACTGCTCGACGGACAAGCGCACACCGCCCCCCCCACCCTACCCCCATAGCTGTACAGACTGTTGGGGCAAGTGCTGTTAGTGAGCACCTATTACAGCCGTCACGGCACGCTGGGGCGTCGGGTGTCCAGCGCCACGCCCCAACGCTGACGTTTACACACTGGTGCTCGTCTAAGGCCGAGTAGCCCGTCGGGAGATCCAGAACCGGTTCCGAGCGCGCTCGCCGGTGGTGCGCTGCGTGCAGAGACGTACGACAGCAGCGTCGGGGAGGGCGGGCTGGAGGAGTTCTCAGAACCCGAGAGCCGAGCGCTGCGGTCCCAGATCTCGTCGCTGTTTCTCCGTCGCGCCAGCCTCCTCAGGCAAACGGGTGGCAGGATACAGAGACGGAAAGCGTCGCGAGATGATGTGGGTGCTAACGAGCGATCGGCGGAGGTGGTGGGGCGACGCGCGATGAGTGCAGGCGAGTTGGTGCGACGCGCTGCGGGAGCTGGTGCGACGTGCTGCGGGAGTTGGTGCGACGCGTTGGGAGTTGGTGCGACGCGTTGGGAGTTGGTGCGACGCGTTGGGAGTTGGTGTGACGCGTTGGGAGTTGGTGCGACGCGCTGGGAGTTGGTGCGACGTGCTGAGAGTTGGTGCGACGTGCTGAGAGTTGGTGCGACGCGTTGGGAGTTGGTGCGACGCGTTGGGAATTGGTGCGACGTGCTGCGAGTTGGTGCGATGCGTTGGGAGTTGGTGCGACGCGTTGGGAATTGGTGCGACGTGCTGCGAGTTGGTGCGATGCGTTGGGAGTTGGTGCGACGCGTTGGGAATTGGTGCGACGTGCTGCGAGTTGGTGCGATGCTCACTGGGCGCTGCCGACGCGATCTCCGTCGCCCGAACCGAGGCCCGAGCGACCCGACGACGACTTCCTGGAGGGACGATCGCACGCAGGAAAAGAGCAACGTCAGCCGCCGCGGGTGGCAACGCGCACGCCCGGTCAGCTGGCGCGGGCGATGACGAAACCTATGCACACAGAGGTAGGGCCGCACCACGGGGGTCTTCTCAAGCGATCCCGCGGGGCGTGCGGGCTCACCTGCTGACGGCGCGGCTCCCGTTGATTCTCTCCGAGCTGTCGCGGTGAACTGAATCCGGCCTCCCCCTGCGTGGCCGCAACGGAGGCAGGAGGGAGACAACACAGAGTGCGCCGAGCGCGTGAACGACCGTGGGCAACGGGGGGGGGGGGAGCAAGGACACCGCGCGCCGTCTGCCGAGGCCTTGCCGTGCTGCGGGCAGCAGGGGGCAGTGCAGCAAATAAAAATGTCGCCGCTGGCTACGCGGAACTATGGACGTGGGCCTACGAGTGCAAGTGTGGGCCCCCCTGCCCCCTGCCCCCTCCCCTGCCCCCTCCCCTGCACCCCCCCAAAGTCCTCACTTGAAGAGCGACAGCGTGAAGATCTGCCCCAGCAGCGACTTCTCGGAGCTGGAGCCCGGCTGCCTCTGGGTCCGGAAGAAGCAGTGGTGCTCCACGCACGCCTTCCACAGCCCCTTGCACAGCCGGTAGCTCTCCATGTGGAACTCCAGGATGTTGTCGCGCATTTCCATCTGGGAATACGGGAGGGGCACTGTGGTCAGACTGGCAAGTGCTCGTGTGGCCAGCTGCCTTTGTCTCCCCAATGGTGATGTTTAGACACCGCACCAGGTACTCGTCTAAGGCTGATGACGCCAGCCGTAGGCATATCCGTGCACACACCTCCGTGCGTGCGTGCGTGCGCACGCACAAACCGAACTGAATCGTTGCTTTTCATAAAACTAGGCCTGGCTGAGCACTGACGGTCACGAGAGAGCATTTAACAATGAAAAATAACCAGGTATTTGTGCCATTCTTATAGCGGCATGGGTCAGTGTTCCTGTGCGTAACCGCAATTATTGGCGCCATTTCATACAAATTTGCAACGTATCGTACCCGTGATGCCGGCACACAGCGGCCTACACTTCACCAATTGACGCCACGGGGTTCTGAACTTCCATCGGGAAGCACGACGCGGCATCGGATGTTACAGGGAAATACACCCGCAGCATTAACCAGGGCGGCCTTCCAGGTTTGAACCGCAAAGCTCAGCAAACAAGGGCGCCGCGGTGGTGAGACGTTATCTCCCTCGTCTGGTGAACAGCAGGCGGCGTGGGTTCGATCCCGACCCTGCTGTATATTGGGAGTTTGCGTGTTCTCCCTGTGGTCACGTGGATTTTTCTCCGGGTCCTCCGTTTATTTTATTTTTTAACCTCCACATCTAGAATCGACGTCACCCGTTCGGAGTATTCGGCCGCTATAAATTTCCACGCGATGATGAGCCACTTCGTTGAGCTTAACATTGGCGATGGCCAGGTCGCTTCTGAAGAACAGCTTCATAGCTCAGTGGGCCTTCTAACCTGGTAAAATAAAAATATGATTTAGTTATAAACGGCGCCGCGTCGCTGCGTCATTGCTGGTCTCGCCCCCCGGCACTCACCGGCCGCCTCTCCAGCTGGATGAAGAATTGTTTCGACTTGAAGAAGATCTTGACGATCTTCTTCCTGAGCGCAGGGAAGTCAAGAGGGAGGCAGAGCAGGAGGATAACGCGGCGTTGGGGCGTTCTCAAATGACGACTGGGGTTGCCTTTTTTTCAGAATCGGTTATCCGCTCCCGGAAGGCATGGGGAACCGGTAACCGTTTGCCTGCAGCTTGAACGCACCGATCGGCACGTGCCAACTAACAAAATCCACGGCAAGTACATTTGCCCGCGTTTGTCAGCAAGAAGGTAAAGGCGCAGCCCTGCAACTGCGTGTTCGTGCCACTGCTGGCGGATGGGCCTCCGCTAGCAGGAGCTCCCGGGAGGGCGTTTGGTCTCCTCTTCCACGCCGACCGTCTTGTATGTATGCTGAACTTAATTCGCACCGTAAGTGGCCAACCGGTGTTATGTTGACCGGCCAATCGACCGACTGTGGTGGTAGCGAATTACGCCGTCGTGTGGACAGTGGCGGGGGGACGGGGCAGGGGGGGTATTTAATAAATTCCTCTCATTGGTTTATACGTCGATGGAATTGAACCATCGACGGCTGACCCGTCATTCCACCGCTGAGGCCACTCCCTTCGTCAATTAGTTGCAAGTGCGGTGCGCGCCGCCATTCCACCGCTGAGGCCACTCCCTTCGTCTGTCAGTCAAAAAGGTAAAACACGTTTTGCTTATCGCACGGTGACATCTGTCATCAAAAGCAATAACAGCTTTTACAGGGCCGTTTTTTTGTCTTTCCTCCATTCAGTTTACCGGCGGTGCCATTCACAAACGATTTTAAGAACACCCCCCCCCCCCCCCCCCGATTACAGGAGACTCGCACCCTTCTCTCTCGCAACGTGAAACGTTAACGAACCACCGCACCCCCCCCCCCAAGCCGCTGCTCCCCCTCTCTTCTCTCCCTCCCGGACGCAAACCCCCGTCCCCCCCCAAAAAAGCCGGCGCGGCTTCGCTGCATCGGCCAGCCGAGCTGCGAGCAAACGCTCGGCGTCGCGATGACCCATTTCACGCGAGCGAGCGAGCGATCGATGCCCGTGGCGGCTCGGCCAACGAAAAATATTGACAGGTGGAGAGGAATGAAAAAACGGCGGACATATGGGAGGGAGAGAGGGGGGCGGACGAGAGAAGTGGAGGACGGGTCACGGGGTAAACAGAGTGCATGCGACACGTTTGAAATTGTGCAAGGGTGCACTGCAAACAAAGTGCGGCTGGCGGTAGCTAACGGTGGTGTTGGTAACCGTGGCGATGGTGGTGACGACATAGATCCAAGGGGCGACAGCCAACGGTCGAGCGAGAATCTACACGTGGTCGGCACGGTACTCGGTGGGGGAAGGGGGTGGGGTAAAAGAGAAGGGTGTTCACTTCACACCGCGTGGTAGCGGTGGCGGCGGGGGGGATGGGGGGGGTGGTGCCCTGTGCGAGGAAGATGATGCCACAGAACTACTTGTCAAACCGCTCCCACAGACGTCTGTGCCCCCACAGGAACCCCACACCTACATGCCATCAATCAAACCCAAAAACATTTTCATTCTCAAAGCTGAAATGTTGTCAAACCAATTTCATAGGCTTAATTTCCCTAAGTGAAAAATAAATGTAACGTTCATGGGATTTTTGTGTGTGTGTGTGGTCATTGGGAGACTGCACTGATAACTCACTACACTTGAAAGCCCAGCTTAATCACAACTAAGTCTGTCCCAGTCTATGGATGGGTCTCTACGGTAGACTGGTCTTGTGCCATCAGCTGCACCTGCACTTGAGAATTCGATTTTATTCACAGGCAGTGGCCTTATCCCAGATTCGAACCCAGGATCTATTTTTTTTATTTTACCAGGTAAGACCCCACTGAGTGATACAGCTCTTTATCAGAAGCGACCGAGCCATCAAAAAAATTAAAGCTCAACGCAGTGCCTTATCAATGTGGAAATTTATAGCAGACAAATACTCAAACGCCGTGACGTTGATTCTAAAAGTGGGGGGGGGACCCGGAGGACCTGGAGAAAACTCCACACGACCACGGGGAGAGAGACAAGCAAACTCTAAACATGCAGCAGGCGTCAGGGTCGGGATCGAACCCACGACCTCCTGTATACCGGGCGAGGGAGTTAACGTCTCGCCACCGCGGCATCTCGGCGACGTCGGCTCAGCGCTCTGACCCCGTGAGCGACCCAGCCACCTCGGCTACTCGTCCAACACCAAGTCGAGCAAAGTGGGCGATTCCCAGGCAAGGGTCGAGACGCCCGCTCGAGATCGAACGTTGTGCACGGCGCGGGGCGGCCAGGATCGTGGGCAACCGTTTCCAAGCGTGCATTTAAAATGCACGCACGCGCAAATCAACGGCAGTCCTCAATGAAGCGCACTTTTTAAACGGGCAGTTGCAATTACAACACAAATGGAAAATTCCGTTAACTCGGTTTAACCACTGCAGATTTCCTGTAGGTACAGCTCATGGTAGGGGAAGGTTTGGGGGGGAGAGAGACGGGGGGGGGGGGTGTTGTGGTTAGGTGTCAGGGTTGCCCTCAAACCCCAGCCCAAGCACGCTTCACAGCACCCCACCCACTTGGCCCCAGCCTATCCACCCCCACCGTCTAATTTTCCACGTCGGCCAATCTTCTCGGCAAAAGTAAAAATCGAGCCGCGCACATTGCGCCTGCCTCGGCGATGACGATCTGTCCAAGGTGGGAAACTGGTACAGTGCCGCTAGGGGTTTACACGCGCTGGGGGTTTTGTCACTGGCCGTGCGTGCGTGTGCGAGGTACTTCTAATGTTTTTTTTCTGTTGTACAGCTACATTCTTTTGTACCGCTGCATTGTTGACGTTCACTTTTCAAGACGCCGCGAAGACGCGCGGTCGAATTGGACGAACGGAAGCGCGTAATAAAAAATATATATAAAATAACAAACAGCACGCAACGATTTTGCCATTGGGTCGAAGACTGGACACCTCTGGGTTGTGAGGGTTGAGTGTTGGAATTCCTTACGCATGATTTTATCATCATCATGTTATATTCATGCAATTGATGAGACAACAAATGAAACGCCAGTGTTACATTGGAGGTAAGAGAACCAAGAAAACTATACAAACGGGCCAGAATAAAAAAAACGATACAAAGATGACGTAAACTGTGGTAAAAAAACATTTTTTAAATCGTAGATTCTTGAATCGAATCGTGAGCCCGAACCGTGACAACTGACGGAATCACCGAGATGTTAAATACATTTTCATTTTAACATCAACCCCTGCAGCGAACACTCGTCAGGACTCTGCCGAAAAAGAGCCTTCAGACTCGGCGAGACTTTGACGGTTCAAACCGGCGCCGTCACCACCCTAGAGAAGCTCGCCCACATCCGGAAGAACGCTGCTGCTGCTGCGCGAACAGCGTGAACGTCCAGAATAAACTCCGCCCTGTTCGAGACCCAAACTTCATTGCACCACCCCCCCCCCGACACTCCTCTCGATGACACTGCTGGTGGAACCAATCAACCGCATCAAAACGTCGGCAGGTCGACGCCGTACCACGTCTCCTTCGCAAATAAAAATACAAATTTAAAAGTCACGGAGCCGCAGTCGTGCAATTGTCACCATGCAATCAAACTGTGGACCATATAATAAAAGACACCACTGGTGGTCTGCACTCGTTCCACAGAGGAGTAACCACAACGCGACACTCTCTCACTGCTGAAGCCCTCCCGTCGCGGCCAGCAGCAGACCTCGACATTGGCACACATTGCTGCTGCCATCATCATGCGCAACAAGGGAATATTATTGACCGGTGCCATGCGATGCGAGCGGAGGCGGTGGTGGTGGCGGGGGGGGTCCTGTGGTGGAGGTGGCGGCAGTGCAGGTGCTTTTACCAAGGCAGGTGAATGCGAATGCCGTTCTTGTAGATGACCATCCCCGTGGCCATGACGCCCAGCATCACCTCCAGATTGTTCCCGTCCTGCTAGAGAGAGATGCCCATCAAACGCCGCATGTTCCACGCACGCACACACACACACGTACCACGCACACGCACACACATGTACCGCACACACATGTACCAAACCACACACGTGTACCAAACACACCACACACACAGGTACCAAGCACACACACTGGTACCACATACACACACACGTTCGGAAACCGAATGACCCGGCGAAAATCCACGCGACCACGGAGAGAACATGCAAAGTCCAATTATACAGGTGTCACAGGGTTGGGATCGAACCCACAACCTCCTACATACAGGTGAGGTAGTTAACATCTCACCACCGCGGCGCCCTAGAGGCTCATAGAAATACAGTACATTAAAGAGGCAAGCCCCAGTAGTGCGGTTGTGGCCATGAAGCCAAAACTATGGACCATATAGTAACCCCATAGAAACACACGAGAGATACATACTCACATAAATACAGAGAGACACACAGAAACACAGAGACACACAGAGGTAGTTATCATCTCGCCACCGCGAAGCTCCCATACTGGACACTTGACCCGCCCATACTGGACAACTGTGAAAAAGATTGGATTCCTTCCTGCAGTCCAAATGATAGATTCCGATTCCGACTGTGAATCGGCGTGCGGAGCAGTACCCGGGCATAATGCAGCTCCACCCCGTAGAGCTCCAGAGTCTTGACGGCGGCCAGGTAACTCCGCACGGCGTCGGCAGCCTTCATCCCACTGTGGGTAGCCGCGGTCGCAACGCGGTGAGGCGGGGAGGGAGGGTGCGTTGGGAGTGAGAAAAATAAAATCCACGATTGATAGTAACGATATTTGATAATTTTTTTAGCACGCGGTGCTCGCACGGCGCCACGCTGTGTCTCGCCGCCTGCCGGCATGGAGGGAGCGCCGTTGCTGCCGCATGTAACCCCGGTCGAGTCATTCACGGCGTCGTTATTCATGGCAAAATATTCGAATCGCGCCAGAGTGATAACCAGGGCGGCCTGCCAGATTCCAGCCGCGAACCGCCCCCAAAGTTACCAACACCGGCACTTCCTTTAAACCACCAAATCACAGCCGTAAGAACTGTTGGTTTATATTTTCTGGTAAGAGAGAAAAGCAATGGCTAAATAAACTATTAACAATCTTGATTAGAGGCTTCCGTGACTGCAGGATTTCATACTCTTAGGTTCTTTTGGGAAAGTCAGGTAGGTAGGGAAATAAATAAAGAATAGATCACGCCGTTTCTATCGCTACAACAAGCGATGAACAATTTTGGTCTTTTTTGTTGTTGTACACTTGTACCACAACACAGTTTTGGTTGGATGTGTTTAGAATTTTATCCACATTCTTCTGCCGCGGTGCAAACGTTAAGACACCGCAATCCAGAGGTCGCCGGTTCGATTCCAACTCCTGGGTGTGGCAGTTGAAACAACGATACAAAGTTTTTCAAATCTTCCCACCTCTTTCACGCTGGCTATATCTCTTCTCAAAGATGGGGGAGGGGGGGGGGGGGTCCCACTTCTTCCAAGAAGTCTGACCACAGTGTAGACCAAATGCCCTTTAAGCGGGACTCTCCACAGAGCTCCCCTCTCTAGTGGAGGCCCTTTCGCCAGCAGTGGCGCTGAGTGGGCAATTGCAGGGTCTGCGCCTTAACCGTTTATCGCAGTCTTCATGCAGCGGTATCCCAGGCCGCTCAACAATAAAACTCTTCTTCTTTGGTTCTTTCGATAAAGTCACGTAGAATGAGAATAAAACAATAAATTAATAAAATAAAATAACACAATAAAATCTCATGACGTTTCGGCCACCACCTGATGAAGGCCACTTGTGTTGTGGCCGAAACGTCATGAGAATTTTATGTGTTATTTTATTTTATTAATGTATTGTTTTATTCTCATTCTACGTGACTTTACCGAAAGAACCAAAGAAGATGAATCCTTGCAGTCACGAAAGCTTTAAATCGAAATAAAAAACTCTTGGCAACGAACCAGGCCAATCATCCCGGCCCCAGTATCAGCTCGGGCAAAACAAATGGTTTTCTTTTGACATTTTGACATATTGATAATTAGGGGACGGCTGTCATCAGGAAGGTCCCCTAGGCTAAAGTAAAAAAGAAAACTAGGTGGACATCAGAATTATTGAATTTGCAGAGACATCACAATGATGTAAGGTGCTTTGTATGTATGTTGAACTTCTTTCACACCGTACGTAGCCAACCGTGCTAATCGGAAGTGCATTGAGATTCTGGGGGTAATTAACCCAGTGCACAACAACACACAAATCCCTTGGCAACAAAGTACAAATAGCTGCTGAGCAGACGGCCGCATCAGCAGTTCTCAGCAGTTCTCAGAATTTCAGCGAGACTTTAGGAAGCAGATTAAGCAGAGATTTATTCGGAACCGAGAAAAAAGTGAGGAACTGTGGGCTAAGTCAGGTGGCAGGGGTGGAAACTTGGTGGCAACCTCAAAAGCCTTCTCTGCACGTGTTGCGGGAAGATGCCGAAACGAAGGTTTGTTCACTGACGAAGAAAAACTTCATCCTTGCACCGTCCTGGAACCACCTTCCACAAGTTCGGCAAAATTCACCGATCTCACGGCGAGGCCGGCAGCGTAGAAATGTACCAATGGGTGCCGGAAAAACAGAATAACGGCTCAAAACGCACGAAACGTCTCGCGTGTGCTCGGTGTTACTCGTGGACAAACGTGGGGAATCTGTCCATACGCAGACTTAGAGCGGCAGGGTTCAAGCAGACAAGCGTCGGAAAAACGCGCGCGGGTCACGTCGGCTGACGCACTTGGTTTCTCGATTTTTTTGTTTGTTGTTGCAACGTATGGAAGACAAACACCCGGGATTATTTTCGACCTAAGGGCGATTCAATACAAAATCTGCAGCATCGAGAGAGACAATGAGAGGACGTGAGTTTCACGTGGAGTTGATTTTCTTTGAAATTGTGCCATCGTCATCGTCGCCGCCGAACACAACGGCTGTTTATCATCACAGCCAGCAGTGGGCATCATTATTACCAAGAACGTAACATCTAAACCCATTACCGCGATTTGATATAGTCTCAAAATTCGGGTAAACTATTTGTTGCAACAATAATGTTTAAATGACCGTCCTTATCACGCATGTGTAATCTATACCAGTGGTGAAGCTACTGGACTCTCGGGGTTGTGGAAAAACAAGCTCCATCCAAAATCAACAATTCCACCACTTTCACTTGTTTTTCAGGAGGGTGCTGGCACGGGCACGTGCCGCCAATTCCATGAACGAGCGATTGGCAAGCGAGAGGCACCGGAGAACCCCGGGGAAAAAAAAACCGCCACGCATAACAAGGGGGAACTCCCGGCCACGCCGCCACGGCCCAGGCCAATGAAGGCCCTGCTGTCGCCTGGCAGCGTCGCCCCATCAAATTAACCAACCGGGCTGAACACCGCTTTAGCTTCCGAGATCTGACGATATCGGTCGGGCGAACTCAGGGCGATTGGGTCGCAGAGCCTTGGGGGATGTCAACCGGCGGGGACCACGCAACTCGCAAATACAGGGCGACGCTGCTGACAGACCACTCCCATTTCACCAGGCTCGCTTGTTACTTTCTCTACAAACAACCTGGAAATAATTGGAGGAAAACACATTTCTGGAAGAAAAAAAAGAAACCCACACGTTTCGAACAACGCGCACGAGAAACATGCCAACAAGCGCTTGGACAAATCAAACACACCGTCAGTGGAACTAACGCTCGCCTCTCCACCAGGACGCTGGCATTTCAACCACTGCCCCCCCACTCCACCACACGTTTGACATTGCCGTCACACCTGTGCTTGGAGTGCTGTTTGGCGACGTCCAAGAGGAAGTCCTGGGGCAAACTCCGGCAGGAAGCGGAGCCGCGAGAGGTAGCCGGTTCCGGACACCGCCGGGTTGGAGTTGCCGAGCTCGGCTGCCGGACGCGTTCACGCACGCACGCATTCACACACGCCAACGACGACACGAGTTAGCGACGGCGAACCGAGCCGAAAAACGCTTCCGTCAAAAAACGCCACCTGCTCAGCGGCAGTAAGCACTCGGACGTGTGATGACGTAGAGTGCGGGTACTTTCCGGCTCTCCCAAAATGTCTGGCCAGAGTGGAGGAGTAGGCCAATTACCGTGGGAGAACTCCTCTAACGGAGGCCCCAGCAGCGGTTGTGTGCAAGCAACTGCAGGGCTGCACCTTTGCCTTTACTTTAGTTGCCTGACTGCCTTCAGCCCTTGCGTTGGTTGCTGCGATTGGCTGGGACGAATCGAGGTACATTACGCTTTACAGCTTGAAAAGCCGTGGAAGCGTAGGCCAAAGTACCCTCTGGAGAGACGCCCTAGAGCTACCTCTTAAGGTGGTCACCTGAACCAATTACATACGACACGCACGGATCAAAAAGCACAACGATTCGGTTCTCAGATTGTGAGGCCAGGTGGCTCAGCTGGCTGAGGGTGCACTACGCCCAGCATCTCTCGGGTGTGGAGTGGTCAATAAAATAAGTACCACTTTGTGAGAAAGTCAGCATTGGTCATTTTATGGAGAGACTTTCACCAGCCATAGGAATGTGGAATTCTCATCAGTGGCTCAGAGCTGCAAACGGGAGATGAGCACCAACGAATGCCTCGATACTCACTGGAGCAGGAACTCACTCTCTTGACGATCGCGAGCCCAAGATTCGGTGAAAACCCGCCGAATCTAATTCACCGCGTCGTCGTTCCGCCCCATCTCGAGGGCAAAGCGAGGGGATCGGCCGTTCAGCCGTTCCGGTGTCGACACCCGGAGAGTGGGAGCCGGGCGGATCCAGCGATCGTTCGCTTCCACCCAAATCACCGCCCCGCCACCTCCCCCCTCTCCGCGCTAATTGCCCGCGTTTCACCACTTGTCACAAAATAGGGCCCCCGAAAGAGACGGGGAGGAGCAATTATCCCCTAATTATAGCCGTAGCGGCGCGCCCACCAGAGGACACCGCACCGCAAACAACGCCCACCCGGGCAACGCAATCGTTCGCGGCGATTACCGCGGCATCATCGGTGGCGGCAGCGGCGATTTCCGGCGTACGTCGCCGCGCTCCGGATTAACGTCGGCGATGCCGGCCTACTCGGCAGGAAAAGTCTCCGGGATGCCTCCTTCAGAGGGACCCGACCGAGTCTTCACGGCAGGGGACGGGTGTCACTTGCTGGCCAATGCCAGCAAATTACACCGCGTGATTTTTTGTAGCTAAGGCCGGAGAACCCGGAGGGGAACCCATGAGGTAGGAGAACACGCAGACTCCGCGCAGAAAAGCCATCCGAGTCGGGAATCGAACCCAGCGCGATTCTTGCTGCGAGGCACGAACACGTTTGCACTGCGCTGCCACCCCTGCCAGCCAAATATCACCACGTCCCGCTCCGCCTCTGTGTCTGTAACTATTGCACGCAGCGAAACAGGTCGGGATCCGGGACAGTGCCAACGTTGGTGGACTTGGAGAGGGCGGTTGATGGTGGTGGCGAGACTGAGCATGGAATTGTTGGGGGCGTTTGAGGAGAGGGGGGGGGGGGGATAGGGGTGGGGGTGAGGGGGGAGCAATCACCTGTAATTTAACAAACGTTTGGCCGGTTCCTCATCTGACAGCTGTGCGTTGACGAGGCCCATCGCTGGGATGGCTTCCTCCCAGAATTCACGGTTCCCGAAAAGCGGTACCATCCGCACGCCCTCTTCGCAGCGGGAATCACCGAGAGCCCTCGGCTGCTGGAAATGATGCCACCTGCCCAGCGCCCACCGCGCCCACCCCCCCCGCTTTCAAAGACGGGGGGGTCGTCGTTGCACGGCGGGTACGTTTTAAAAATGATGTGCCAGCGCCGAACGGGCCTGCGCCGAGGCGAGCGAGGGGTGCGCGCTTCGTGTGCTTGTTTTAAGCGGCAGTGACTCACTCACCCTGCGCCACGTAGGAGGCGAGCTGAATGGCCGTGGTCACGCGGGCAGGGCAGCCTGCAGCAGCACACAGTGCGCACGTCACACTCCCGGGTTACACACGCGTAACGTCACACTCCCGGGTTACACACGCGTAACGTCACACTCCCGGGTTACACACGCGTAACGAGGACAAAGGATCCCACCGTATCGCCTTAACGGACTGTTGGGGGGAAAGTGTCGTTAGCGAGCACCTTCGCTCACAGTCTGCTTCGCGAGAAAGAGATTCTGCGGCGTCATTCGCAAGAGCACGCTGCCGTGTGCCGGTGTCACGGTCCAAGTTTGTCAAACGTGAAAAGCCGCAAATTACTCGATCGTAACAACAACAACAACAAAAAAAACACACACACAACGCAAACCGTCGCGTCTCCCTGCCGCGAGAACTTGGCAGGACCCTCCGGACGGAGAGACGTTAAGACTCGGTTTGAGCCTCTTCCGGATAAACAAGCGAACGATAATAAATAGCACGTCTCCAAACAGAGGGGGTGCGCGTGGGGGGGGGGTGGGTAGGTGGTTTGGTGGGGAGAGGTACTGGCCAGCGCTCACTGAATGGATTTTTCGAGTGGAAGCGCACGGGGGGCGGAGGCGGGGGGGGGGGGGCGAGCAGGGGGCCATGTGTCCACGCCTCGTTCAGGGGAGCTACGTGCGCACGATTTTCTATCTATAGCCCGGGCCGATCGATACGACCCGAGCGGCGGCGGACGAATCGTTGAGATTTCGCAGGCGCTCTCAGAGGTGGCGAATCGCTTACCAGCCCTCGAGGATGTCCTTCTTGATCTGAAGGTAAAACAGGTGCCTGGCGGACAGATAACGCGGGGTCAAAGGTCACAACAGGTCGCCGTGTTTCACTTCATCCAATAGGGCCCGGGCCCTGCGCGAGTGCGTGCCTCTTTGTGCGTCATTGTGCGCGTATTTGTGTGCCGCCGTGCGGGGTTAGGGTCGTTGAGGGGAGCGGGCGGGCAGGCGGACGTTTATCGGAAAAGCTTACCGCCCCATCGTTAATGCTTTACGGTCCCCTATCCCGATTCTTTGAGCTTCCGCCATCAGTCACGTTCATGTATTACACACATCAGGGCGTGTTACTTCACCCAATGTTTGCTTTCCGACGCGATGCGGCCAAAACGCTCAAGCGGCGTTGGGCTGTCGTGGCGAGCCCGCCGGCCTGCTTTTGTGGAGGGGGTCGGCGGATCACGCAGAGATCCGTGGAACACTCGGGCCCGCTGCTGGCTGCTTGCGAGGCGGAGCAGCGCTGTTACGAGGCGGCCGAAAGATGGCCGGTGCGGCGAGTGGGGGTTCGCAAACAACCAATCTGTGCGGATTTCCGAGAGTGCATCCGTTCCTTCGTATGCGTGGTGGGTTTTCTGCGGGTACTCAAGGTCTCCCCTCCGCATGCAAAGTGTGAACAAGTATAACTGGCAAGACAAGCGGATGCAGGAACCTCGTGAATAAGAGTCATTTGACTCATTTGTTTGTGAAGCTTCCTTGAGACAGTCTCCACGGCTTTCCCCCCTTTGATTGGAAATCCCTACCCCCAGACGTCCGTGCTGTAGACTCCCTGCCCCGATTCAAGTCTAGCCTCAAACCTCTTCCCCTTCTCCTCTGCCTTAGACCGACCACCTCTTTTCTATTTGAACTATTTTTGTTTATTTTACCAGGTAAGTCCCCACCGAGCTACGTAGCCTTTTTTTCAGAAGCGACCTGGCCACCACAAATGATAGCTCAACGAAGTGGCTTACGGAGTGGAAATTTATAGCAGCCAAAATATGCAAAACGCACGTTGATTTTAAATGTTTCTCCCGCTCTCGATGCAAAGAACACGCCCGTTGTTCCTATACCGCACCGTGAAATGTGGTCACTTTTAGACGGCGCTACATCAATCCACGTTGCATCATGAACCGTGTTTGAAAAATGTGCGATTACACCGTAGTCTATTGCAATCAACATGCACGCCAACAAATCCCACTGAGAGAAACGAATCACAAGACAGACTAAGAGATAGAAAACAAACAAAAGGAGATGAGAGACAGATGGCGGACAGAAGAAGATAGACAGAAGATAGACAGGAGACAGGGAGGAGACAGACACGAGACAGATGACTGACAGACACGAGACAGATGACTGACAGACACGAGACAGATGACAGACACGAGGCAGATGACTGACAGACACGAGACAGATGACTGACAAGAGACAGATGACTGACAGACACGAGACAGATGACTGACAGACACGAGACAGATGACTGACAAGAGACAGATGACTGACAGACACGAGACAGATGACTGACAAGAGACAGATGACTGACACCAGACAGATGACTGACTGACACGAGACAGATGACTGACTGACACGAGACAGATGACTGACAAGAGACAGATGACTGACACGAGACAGATGACTGACTGACACGAGACAGATGACTGACTGACAAGAGACAGATGACTGACACCAGACAGATGACTGACTGACACGAGACAGATGACTGACTGACACGAGACAGATGACTGACAAGAGACAGATGACTGACACCAGACAGATGACTGACTGACACGAGACAGATGACTGACAGATACGAGACAAATGACTGACACGAGACAGATGACTGACACCAGACAGATGACCTGACTGACACGAGACAGATGACTGACAGATACGAGACAAATGACTGACAAGAGACAGATGACTGACTGACACGTAGACAGATGACTGACACGAGACAGATGACTGACATGAGACAGATGACTGACACCAGACAGATGACTGACAGATACGAGACAAATGACTGACACGAGACAGATGACTGACACCAGACAGATGACTGACTGACACGAGACAGATGACTGACAGATACGAGACAAATGACTGACACGAGACAGATGACTGACACGAGACAGATGACTGACTGACACGAGACAGATGACTGACAGACACGAGACAGATGACTGACACGAGACAGATGACTGACACGAGACAG